ACAGCATGACACCATAAGAATGATCAACTTTTCATAAATGCATTTGAATTGTGAGTGGTGCATTCCTATTTTATTCTGATCAACAGAATTTTCTCACAAATGAGATTGTTGAAATTAAGTTGGCAAGTCATCATACAGTGATACATCATAATCAGTATTATCAAAAGGCTATACACCATGGCTCAGGGAGCAAGACGTTGGCTCGCTAACCTGGAGGTCCTGTGTTCGATCCCTGCGTTGGCCGAGAAAGTTCATCAAGATTTTCTGGTGTGGTTCCACCTTGTCAGTCATGCAAGACAGAAGGTCTGGCAAGAGATAATGTATAGTCATTTGGATGGGATGAAAAAACGAGATCCCCTGTACACATTGGTGTGCACGTAAAAGATCCCTTGAAGTTGGAATTCGATATAAGAGTAGGTCAGTGCTGCTGTCCGGGCAAAATTTCCCTCATAGCACACTGTATGCCCGTCTTCATTAGAGCAGAAAAGGAGGACATTAAATTTTGAATGGACAGCACCATTTCTGCCTACTCTTCATCAATTTCCAAGTATACACGGGACCTCCGTCCTGCACCATTAAAACGCCTGGTTAGTCACCCGGCACCTTACTCACTGTGCCGCGGTGGCTCCCTCAAAAATATACCTTGACTCAATCAGCACTGTGTCATCAAACTGTGCTGAAAATTGTTCATATTAAATTTTTGCCTCTCTTTGCAATGTTTGCATTAATCTGAGATGATCTCAATACTGGTGTGATTGTGAATTATGATTAAGCAATAGGAACATAATAAACCAAAACAAATTTAATGCGCTTCATGGAAGGAGACTCCATAACCAGCATAATTCATAGCAGCAACATCAAAGGTGCAAATCATAGTACTTTAAAAAATATTTGTGTCTAACTCTCAGCTCCCCCGTTTTGGGAGGTCCTTAGACACAAGAAGCTGTCTGTCATGTGTTGTCTGTTAACCTTTTATATTTTCACCTTCTTCCCCTAAACTGCCTGATGGGGCTTAAACCAAATACAACAGGTGTGTTGTTTGGGTGGTGCTTATTCAGATCTGTTCAAATGTAGTTTAAGGGGTGGGTAAACAGTGGAAGATTAATAATCAGAAACAACACCTTACTACAAATAGTATGTACATGTATAGCTATCGTTAACGAGCTGATAATGCAAGTAACCAGTACTTCATGAAAATGCCCTGATCATGATTAGTGGTTTTGTTATGTACAAAGTACCATGATATAGAAAGCACCACAATCATTACAGTTTGTCTTACATTACAACATTGAATTTAACAAGTGACAGGGTATCTTGTTGAGTACTGTGATTTGTTGTTTTATTATTTGATTGACAATGACAGGACAAATGAGATCAGTTAGTCTATAACATGTTTTGATGGATATCATTGTTTTATCAACTGTGTAGTACCAGGTACTTCACCCATAAACAACATTTATAGTCTCTTTGGTTAAAAGTAAAAGATGAATGTCTTTGACACCGACAGTTCATACTAATTAAAACCTACAATACTTACAAAAACCTGTTTATATACACCCACATTTACAACTTTTCTTGTAAACCCTTAAAAAATAACATATCATATATGAAATTTTCTTATGTACCTATTTTTTAAATTAGACTATTTTCCTATTTACAGTTTTACTTTTATGGAAATTTTAAATAAATGGTGGGATTTTTGATTTAGGCGAGCCCCCCCCCTCCCCCCCACAATCCAGTTCTAGTAAGTGGCCAGACGTGTTTATATGACCGGAAACAAAAAATTAGGACCAAGTATCGTATATGTAGAAGTTTAGATAAATTTTTAAGTAGGCCTATCAAGATGAGATCAGAATACCCCTAAATTTGAAATACATCACATTTGTAATCAAAAATTGATAAATGTAAAATATGTTTACCATGCTTATGTCAATGACATCATATCTCGCAAGACCCAAGTGCTGGAATGTAAATCAATGCATTATGTTACAAAAAAATACATTTGAAAATGCATTTGTGGGGTAAAAGTAGTGCAAACTAATGTATTTAATGCTTTTATTAAAAGAGTTATCTAACCAATATATTTTATATGCTCTTCTCAAGCACTTAGGTTAAGTAAGATATGTGAAGTACATTAGAAATGTTGATCAAGTATACATAGAGTCATCCGAAAAGATTTTTACTTGCCATAGTTTATAATTTATTATGATTCAAACAAAAGATAGCCAACATATAGATGAACCCACATATTGATAAACCAGCATATATATTTTCACCGCCTTAGAAATGTTTTTAGCTGGATATTTCAACACCTCATAGGCAACATGTTAGAAAATTTTCATTGCATCTTACTTTTTTGCTATCAAATTCAACGTTATAGAGTAAATAGTTAATAATAACATATCTAAAAACCGTTTTATTTATGAAATAATTTGACATTAAACAGATAAACTTGTGATAATATTAGATCTTTTTTTTTCTTTTCTACAGTTGAAAGAAAATTTCTCACACTTTGCCATTTTTCTTATGTTTTTTTTGTTAGATTACAGTAAATATTCTGCATTAATAGGCATATTAGGATATGATTTTGTATTTTAATGATCTATCCCTATTGATTTAAACATATTTTATTAGACCAATACAGAGATTACAGCCAGTACAAAAATGATTGGGACAAAAGTTACCATGGCTTAACAATGCCCTCTCCACTACTACTATCCATACCATTTGATACTTATATTAAGAAAATAAGGTAAATGTATGGTCTAAGTGAGACTTGTATATAGTTTCATTATATCAAAACCTTTACTAAGTTCAATAATAAGCACTTTCTGTTCAGGTTAAGCAGTTTGATTGGTCAAGACTTAGGACACGATAACCTTTATTCTAATTGAGAGTAGTGAAACTTGCTGTATAGTTTCATTACATCAATACCCAGAGTATTTTCTTGTAAAGTACACGGTAGAGACTTCAATTTAATTGGTTGAGACTTTGGTACACAATAAACATCTTTTGAATTGGGGTAGAATGCTCAAACTTCAATTCTAATTGGGTGAGAGTGATGAAACTCTTGAGTCTAGTTTTTTTACATCAGTACCATGACTCGGATGGATCAAGAGCATTTTCTGGTGAAGTTTGATTGCTGAATGCTTTACAAAAAGATTAATGTCATTTATAAGACCCCAGGTGAACCCAGCAAAGGTTACAGATTTATAATTTTATGCCCTAATCAAAATCTAACTACCAGTAGTACATAAAGGAATGGTAAATGCTTTTGGTTCTGATAGATATATTCAGTGACTATACCATTTACTGGTTTTCTTGTTAGTTCTACTCAAATGGGTGCAATAAATGTCGACTATCCTATTAACAGGAAGTAGATCTATGTGATTATACAGTCTGATATATAAACCATTCACAAAAATAAAATAAGAAACAACTGAGATGTGTAAAAGGATTAGAAATAAAGCGATATGAATGAGATTTTATGGCATATTAAGTGACATGATGGGTCCTTCTGTTCCAATCAAGGTATATTTTATTGGTCGTGTAATAAGATAGTCAAAGTTCCATTGCTTACAACTTTGCATTTATCTTGACATTTGGGTTTTATTTTGACATTTTTAATTATGATCAACCAACTCTTTGCCCTCAATGGTAGCCTAAATAAGTTGCTCTTCAGGGCATTTTCATTCTGTTCATTTCATACCTTGTGTGCTTACTTTATTATACTCCCACATTTTAATGTGGATGTATTATGCCCTCTCCCCTGTCCATAAAACTTACAATATATGTTTATATCCCAAGGGTTTCGTTTTGGCACATATCAGACCATAACATTTTCTTTTATTCATGCTATCTGATGATTATTATTATTTAGGTGAATGACCGCAAGTTATGCTTCAAAATGTAAGATAGCACTGTTATTTCAGACATGAGCGTAATACTACAGTAAAATATGATGATTTTCTAATAATGTAATAGAATACATGTGTGTAGGGTAATAAAAGTTAATGGCTGACACAAGTAGTTTCCTGTTCACATTTCATAAGGTATATTTTTAGCTGGGGACAAAACTGTAAGTTTATGTATGGATGTATGTAAAAGAATGTAAAACATAAGATAATGGTGATGATATTGTGCTCAACATCTGGCGACTCTCTTCGGTTCATAAGTAAAGCAAACATATTTATTTTTTTCTGTGAAAATCGAGATGGACAATGGTACAAACAAGTTCAACAGATGGTGCTAACTCAAATACATGTACTAACTAGCCAGACAGAATAGATATTTGGTGTCATAAATATAACCTGAAAAAATAATTAATGAGTGTTTCTTATTCATTTTGAAATAATATAGTTCCTTTTGTTTTCAAATTCGCTCCCTATAAATAAACCTCTTTTGTATTGTTTAATTGAGTTAACATTCAAGATACTCTTTGTGTGTCATATCTTTTGTGGAATGACAGGGTTATCTAATTGTAGAAGGGATATATATATAGCTTAAACAAAGAAATATGTGTATTTTATCAACCAGTGTATATTTATTTAAAGGTGTCTCGAGACTTCAGATTCAGATCTATACAATATTAATTAAAAACAAAAATTGAAGAATGTTCATTTTGTTAATTGATTATTTTTTGAAAAAAAAACAAAAAAACAACCCAAAACAAAGGAATTCCTACAATGTAATGCTAGCTACTAACTTTGGCATTTAGAGATATTTCAACAAAAGAAGTTTATAGGGGAAATAACAGTATCTGCACTAAGAAGAATGTGCAAAAGGATATGGTTACATAAATGAAGTTGTGATTACAAAATAAAATATTCTGGAGTTTTTGTTTGGTGAGAAGACGCTCTGGCGAATCTTTCTCAGGATTGTTAATGAAAATGCTTATTATATTAGCACTTATGTTAATGGCATTACTCCTTATGTTCCTAGTGAGTTTTTCATTGAGTCCATGTCTGTAATTAAAATATAACTTTTGTATTTATTTTCAGGGTTTAGCTTAAACGTGGAGCCACGTGATGTTATTAACCTCATCGAGACTCTCAATACATCAGATGGGAGTACATATAAATTTACCTCAGGACCTAATAACAATACACTGGCTATTGAATTGGATGGTAAGTATTAGAATATATTACTACGCATTATATAAATTAAATCAGGACCTGGGTTCATAAAACATAATCCAACTTGACTCAGAATTTACCTGATTTTGCTCTTTAACTTCTGTCTAACACATTGAAATGGTGTAGATCTGTCTTTCCATAACACTTTTTGAGACACAATAACTCTGCTTCTAATTGAGCTAAAATGCCTAAACTTGGTTTAATTGTTCATTGGGGAAAGCCTTGATGAGCATATTTGCTTAGGTTAAGCAGAGATTAGCATTTGCATTGGTCAAGATTTTGGCTTGTTGGATTTATTATGTCAGTTTGAAAGTACAATAGAGTTTCATTTCCGAAAATTAATGACTGAAATTTTCAATAATTCGTTCAGATATCTCCATTAGTTTTTCAAAAGCTGAAATTTCATGCCTGTCAAATTGCCACGTGGCATATCACAATAACAGCTTACTGGACCTATTATGAATAATCAGCAAGCTAGTTTTGCTTTTTTACCGGATTTTCAAAATTATCGTTACATGTGCTAATTACTCGGATTATGAACCACATGGCCGATTCTCACTAAGGTATTATCCAGCCTCGTGGGTTTTCTCCGGGTCCTCCGGTTCCCTCCCACTGCTAAAGACCCCTACGCGCAAGCGAATTATTGAAAAAAATTAATCCATGTGCTAGTCCCGAAATGACCTAGTTTGTGTCGAGTGGACGTTGAACCCCATTTCTCTCTCTCTCTCACTAAGGTATTACTGTTGTTGTAGCGGACAGTAAGTTGATTGACTTTTTAATTAACAAGTAATAATTAACCTGTTGTAATTTAGTCGAAAGTAGAAGGATTTATGATACCATAGTAGCTGGTCATTGTTTTACCAATCGGCTGGATTAAACATCAATCGGCTAAATCCGACAAAAAAAACAGCCGATTAAGAATAGACCTGTCAAATCAAATTTGTGACTTGTGTTAGAAGTGCACCAGTTATAGGCTTCAAAATGTTTTTTTTCCTATGCGACTGTTTGAAGCATGGAACATCAAAAAATGATCCTAACATGCAAATTTACTCCACAGACCAACCATATCGGCCAGCTGCAGGATGACAAACATTATGGCTAATATGCCACATGGCAAAAAGGCTCTGGTGCTAAGAAAATGACTCTCCCTTAAATCAAAATATGGTTGTAAGGGAAAAAGTCTTGTTCAGATCTCTGTCATGCAATAAAATCATTGCCATGGAGGTGTTATAGCTGTTACGTTTCCTATTCATGCATACCATAAATATAAAACATAAAATTAAAGTCTCTGTTCGTCTTTTGAAGGATTTTTAATCTCTTGCTAATTAAAATAATGTGAAAGTTTAATCACTAAAATAGTATCTGTCCAGAAATGGACCAATTATTTCAATATTTTCAAAGATATGATTTAAAATGGTTAAACATTTGTTATCATCTGCAGATGATACAAACAAGTCCTTGTCACCTGACTCCTTTTTGCTAAAATACTTTAATGGCCCTCTTTTTAATCTGACTGAATCCATGGCGGGAGATTATTTTGATATTTTGATTTTGTTTATTTGATTAAAAGTTAAATAATCAATTAGAGTAAGTTTTAGCAGTGAAAAATTAAATACTGTCTGAAAAATATAAATCAACGGCTTTAAATGGGTAATATTGGTCTTAGAATGAGATATGTTACACACTTTTCTTAAATCATGCTACTATTAATAACAACTAACGTCTTTGTTATGTATTGTAAAATTGTTGTGAAAAAATAATACCTAGTTAATATACTGATCAACTGTTGTTAGTATTACCCCAAAATATCCAGAATTCTGGTTTTCACATTTCTCTTATTTGACTTGTTGAGTAGTACTATATGTATACAAAATACCAACCACCTTGCATAACTCAACCAACAGTCATCAGTTAGACATGATATGATGATTGCTTGTTGATGGTAAGGTATTGGTAAATGTGGTGAATTGACAATATTTAAATGAAGCCATTGCTTGAAGGTTGTTATTACAGGGCTTCTGGTGCAATGTTCGGAACCACTGAATAAGTCTTGCCATAATCCATTAAATGTTAAATAAAAATGGGAGAATGGATTAAAATGATTTGACATGTCGTTATTTAAATAAAACATTACTAAGATGGGTTCAGAGGAATATTCAAGCAAATAATAAGCCTAGGAGATTGCATCGATTGTACAAAAAGCACCTGTGCGACCAAAAAATAGAGGGAATGAAGTATATCCCACCTTAAGGTGATTAAAGTAAAATGTGATAATGAGATGTTAAGTATTGATGGTGATGAGAGTGTTACAGATTAAGACTGTTTAAAGTGACACATGTTAATCTAATGTTTAAAACATGATTTATTGCAAGCAGCTGATCCTTACAATAAACTTTCAAACTTTGATTCATATCCAAAATCAACACATCCCACCCCACTTGGGTATGTAACACAATTTTATCTTTTACCTTACATTTCTTATTATAAAAAAACAAGTCAAGAAGCCAACTGAGTTTGTCTGGGGTTGTGCATTTAACTTTTTAACTGTTTCATTTGGAATTCCTTGTTTTACATTAAAATGTGTAAGAGTCATGTATTAAACGAATAAGATATAGGTGTATTTTACAAGTGCTTAAATATCCACTCACTGTAATAAAAAGTTGTATTTTCAACATAACTGTTCAATGAAAATGATTTATTTTGGAATTATGTTCACATACAGAAATGTAAATGCCTTGTGGTATCATCCTGATATCAGATTTCTAAAACATTTGTATTATTTCGAGAATATTTAATAAAGGTGAATACGCCTAGAAAGAAGTACTTGTAAATGCCAAATGAGATAAAATATGAGCTATCTCAAATCATTTACTTTATAGTCTAATATAATTTCACTGAATTTGAGTATGAAACAAAAGCAAAAAATAAGGAAATTTCAAACAAAACTGATTACATGGTAGATCCATTTAAAATAAAGTCAGACTAAGACTGAATGACAGGCTATATAAACCGTGGTTTTACCATATGAGATTGCAGTAACCTGTTATTTGATGTAAGATTTACCGTCGAATGGTATGTATAAGAAAACAGCACATTAAAGGCCAGAAACAATAGGATATGTTTGTAGATGCATCCCTTCCATTCCTAGACAGACAAATATTTAGGTCACTAGTTGATTTATGAAAAATTAAGCATAGTTTGGGTCTACCTTATCACAAACTAATTATCTAACAAGCTTTGTGTGCAAGGCAGTGTAACACATTTTGATAACCAATGGGTTATCTTTTGGGGTTTTCTCAAGACTATTAAGTCTGAAATGAAAAATTCAATGTTTCACAAAATTTAAATATCTTCATTGTTTCATCTGTGGTACCCATGGGTTATGTGATGGTGGTCTTGTACTTTTCGATTTGGCGGAGATTCAGCAGACTGGTTGCCAGGTCTGTTAGAATTGTTATTATGATTGTCTGTAAAGGGTAGGAGATCCAGACACAGACTAATGCAATACAAATATAGATCACTTAGATTTTATGGATAAAAAAGAAATGATTGGCACAATCTCATTCGTCTAAAATTACCCAGCGTTCCTAAATTTGATTACTTCAAAGTAAGCTATTTTTTTTGTAAAAGCATAATTTACAGGGCATGCGAAAAACTATTTATTAAAATAAAGCGGTAACTAAAGGACAAACATTTTAATTACATGACTACATGTACTTATAACCATTTCTATACAGGACCTCTCTTTTCGGCTTGATAAGCAATTTTAGCAGCTATTTCTAATCAGGTATGAACTGAAACTGACAGACACAGTGCATAGCTATATATGTCATTTAGGAGTTTCATTTGCATACAGTAATTTCACTTGTATCAACAAACAGTCTGTGAATTTTGTGAATAAATGTTCACATTGATATGCAGTTCAAGAGTTAATTAATTAGCTGCTTACTTATTTGACTGCATGAAAAGTCCAAATGTTGTCAAAAAACCCCAAACAATTTATGATTTTTTTTAATACCTGGAATATGGTAAGTGCAATATGATATAGAATGCATTCTTAGTGCTTACTTATTTGATTGCATGAAAAGTCCAAATGTTCCCAAATGTTGTCAATAGAAAAACCAATTTATGATATATTTTGATACCTGGAATATGATAAGTGCAATATGATAGAAATGAAATGAAATGAAATTTAACGTCCTACTGTTCTGCTCCGACTGCAATATGATATAGAATAGATTCTTAGTTTTTTATGTTGGTAAAAACTGAAATGATAAAGTAAGAGAGCTGTTAATATTAGTCTATTAATCAGATCATATGGGTTTGGTGATTTTTTGTTAGTAAGAAATTAAACTAGAAATGGACCTTTAATAAACTATGTTATGAATTGACTAAATTGAAATACCATAGTTATTTTATAACAAATCCATTTATTTAGTTAGAATCTTAACAATTTATTTAAGTCTTTTCGTAATTGCTGTTATGGTTACCAGAAACACTTAAAGCTACCAGATGGATGGGATATCTTAACTTTTGATTAGATTACCTAAGGTACAATAAAATAAAACATAAAACAGCTGTGGATTGTGAATAATCTTTTTGAAAATTAATATTAGTACTTAATGTGAAGTGAAATTTGCCCTGAATTCAGTTAGATTTTAAACCAGTCAAGTTGTATCATCAATGTCAATGTTAATAGTTTTCCAAGAGCTTTGAAATCACACTAAAATGAGCACACTCTTTCAAAGCGAATAAGTTGAGGAACATTCACTTCATAAGCTGGTGATTGCTGTATGTTTATGCATATGAATGGAATATTTTATAATCCTAAGAATATAAAATCAAATTAGAAAAGAAACTTGAACCCTTCTTTTCCATGTGATATTCTAATGACCTACTGGAAAAGAAGTAAGGACTACTAATTTATTTATGACATCATATACTTAAGGTATATTTGCTTGGCATTAGAATGGTTCTTAATGTAATTCACTTGTATATATATTTCAAAATACAATGTGGTTATAAATTTGTACGTTTCTAAATTATTACCAGGGTTTAGATTATACTAGTCTGAGATGTGGCATATGCCAGTAATTGCTTTATCCGTTTTCTCCAAAATTTTCGCCTTTTGACCCATGGTGTAACATTTATGTTCGGATCAATCTGATGCCAAATATTTAACTGTTGTGCTAATTTCATTAACCAATATTAATTGTATTTATACCAATTACAGTAATTGATTACATGATTTTATTATGGTACATGTAATTAGGTATATGTTAATATGAACTAAGAAAATGTGGACCTGAATGTCAGTTGATCAACCAAAAAGAGTTTATAGCATTTTCAGCTTCTTCTCCTCAACCACTTTGTTATATTAACAGAATTTAACTACCGCTGAGATAAATTTGTGAGCTTGTTTCAAAATCGGTTATCCCCAAATGCTCTGTGACATTGAAGAACCAATATGTGCACTATTTTAAAAAAAAAGGTAAATAGAATAGAAAGCAGACCTTTATCCAGTTGAAGGAAGTTTATTTTACATTTCATTGTTATCATTTAAATTCCGTTAATTGACAATTGTAGCTTGAATAAAGTTTAAACTTATTTTCAATACACAGAATGTTTTTATTTTCGTCACATCAATTATCACCTGTTGTATACACCAACAAGTATATCAATTGCATGTGATTTGATGAAAGTTGTTTCCGTTATTAAGTACATTATTGTTCATTTTAACAAAGTCCGATCTGATTACATAACCTCTTTTAAATGATTTTGCACTCTAGATGATGCCTCTATTTACAGTAGTCTTCGGAGCACAAATTATATTTACATTTACTGGATGTGTTATTACAGTTGACTTACCAGTAAATGATAACTTATTTTCTTATTTCATTTAAATATTACTGCTTGGTGGTAGGCAGATTAAAGTTAAGATTTTGGTTTGGTTCAACATGGTTAAAGGATAAAATTGGAAATCTATGAGTGGTGAATAGCCATCCCAGCTTTCTCTCATGAATTTGTTGCGGCCTACCGGTAATCACTGACAAACTGTCAATAGCTCCCAAAGTATTGCAAAGTGGCTTACAAGGGAAGATATATTATAGATATACATATTCTACAAATCATATTATATAACATTGTACAGCCATAAATGATCACCCCAGATTTTATCTTATAATTAATTGTATAATCAACTTTTGTTTAAATTGTAAATCTTGTATGCTGTCCTTCGTGGATGCAGTGATACAATAAAATCTTATCTATTCAAAATTTAAATGAAAATGAAATGAGGTTTAACGTCCTACTGTTTTGCTCCGAACTGGGCTAATGAAGACGGGCATAAGCCATACAGTGTGCTATGAGGGAAATTTTGCCCGGACAGCAGCACTACGGTCTACTCTTATATCGAATTCCAACTGTCAAGGGATCTTTTACGTGCACGCCAATGTGTACACAGGACCTCGTTTTTTTTATCTCATCCAAATGACTAGACAGCTGTCCTTGTCAGGCCCTCCGTCACGCCGGAAAATCTGGATGAACTTTCTCGGCCAATGCAGGGATCGAACACCCGACCTCCAGGCTACCGAGTCAGCGTCTTACCCACTTAGCCACCGTGATCCCCAAAATTTAAATGAATTAACAAAGAAATTGACAATATTATGGATAATTGACATTTTGACAAAAACGGTCCTACTTTAACTTATCACCAACGAGAGCGATTTTTTGTCAATAGCCCACAAAGTATTGCAATATTGACAGGTGATTGGTAGGACCAGATTGTTGTCTTGATTAGTGATGCAGCAGACAGACACATTAGTATTATGTCTTAACAGCATATTGGGTTTTGACAGTTCTAAGGTTGCAGCCAGGTTATATACCCAGATAGCATTTCTACATTACTAGTCCACTGATAGTACAAGAAAAAGGTTGAATTTGTGTCTGTTATGTGTTAACATTAGATAAACAGGTTGTTTTTCTTGTCTAAATACAAGTGATAACATTACTTTTATACATACTAATATACAGGAAAGCAATGGAAATGCACATCTTTTATTAATGGATAATGGTAGATCTTACAATTCTGATGAAACAACATCAGATCTAGCCACGTAACTGCACCACAGATCATTTCTCTCAATCAAACATAACAAATTTGAATTCGACAGTTCTGTGAAAGATTCAACAACATGCCAAGGTGGATACCTGAACACTTGAGAAAGGGCCACTTCTTTAATTAAATCGGGCTGCAGCACTGCAACAAGAGTGGAAAAGGTTCTCACAAGCAGCCATTCAGACATTCTGAGGCTTATCTCCTTCACTGGCCACATGTTACTGATGACTTGAGGTTTACCCATTGGTCTACATTTAACTTTAAAGTTGTTGCGGCCTTGTTGCTTTTCTTGTGCGGCTAAATGTCCAACTTACTATCATGCCAAAAGTAACATGTCAACAGCATCATGTCCCATTTGCACTTGTTGCATTTTCATTGTGTCTTGGTATATATCATGGGGGGTTGGATGGCTGAATGGTTAGCGTGCGCGCGCTGTATCATAAAGTCTGTCATTGAGTCGACTGGTGTGGTTTCGAAACCCCGGTTGTACGTGACAAGGAGTAGGGTCGTTTGTCCAACCACGTGGGTTTTCTCCGGGTCCTCCGGTTTCCTCCCACTGCTAAAGACCCCTACGTGCAAGCGAATTATTGAAATAAAATGAAACCATATGTTAGTCCCGAAATGACCTAGTTTGTGTCGAGTGGACTTAAACCCCATTTCTCTCTCTCTGGTATATATCATAGTTTTATCTTTCAATTATTATATGAAACAAGGTTTATTAGCATGATTTGATACTTTATAAAGCATTGTATTCGAACAAATGATAGTTATAAGAGTTAAATATTGTAGCATCTATTTTAGGACTCAATATACATTGAAATTATTGATCAATAGTTTCTTTTTATCATTTCAAATATTAATAAACAGTTATTTCTGTAACTGATAATAGTAATAAACAGCGGTGTAGTGCTAAAAAAAGAATTGAGAGAAAAGTTAATATTAGTGAAACACAGTTTTGTTAGTGCTAAAAGAACAAGTGAGTGTACAATTAATATTAGTGCTATACAGTGGTGAGAGGAAAATGGAAATGGGCAGTTATTATTGTGACATTTTTTTGGGATATAATTAATGCCACTATGTGGCAAAATCACTTTACCTCAAAGTTTATAGGCTAGACTTACCTCAATTAAAGAAAAAAGAATGGAAATTAGGAACCAGTTAATAAAGCTTTCTTATATTTATTTTATGTATTTCACTACATTACATAATTGTTAGTTTGGATTTACTTGAAATAGTTGAGGGATGTCATCCCCAATCCCAGAATAAGTCATAGAATGATAAACGCTTTCTTTTGATTCTTGACCAGAATGACAAACATTTAACAAAGTCTGACCCAGATTTTCAAATAACCCCTTCCCCTCCTCACATAACTTCTCTACTTGGAAATATATGGCCACACCTAATAATAATGTAAGCTAAATGGCCAAAAATGAAAATATGCTGTACAAGATTATAAGCAGGGTCAGATTAGAAAGAAACACTTTCAGTGTGTCAACTATCTTCTATTTAAGGTAGTACTGTTTATGAATGGAATTCCTCACATGTCTTATCAATGACATACAGTCTATTTATAGATGTAAAAGGAATCTGTATGCCACCTACAAGTAATCATGATATGGCATAAGAAACATTTGCTGGAAAAATTGTTCTTTCTAAACATGTAGGAGTTTACATGTATGTGAACAAATGGCTATGATTTCATGTATACTCCATTTTTTACATGCTTTTGCTGATAAGATACCTGGTAGTACAAAAGTCTAGACATAATACAATTTATTGCATAAAGGTGTCAAGAGTTTATTCCATCTATTTGAATATGCATGCATGCTTTCAGGTATTGATGCTATTTTTAGACCAAGAATATGTCAAACATCTGGAAGTATCTGAAGGATCTTGTTGTTTTAAACTAAAAGGCAAATTTATCAACAAATAATTCAGCTAAAACAATAAATTCTACATCTTTGTTAGAACAACAAAAAAAAAAAGAATATTGGCAAGCTGAATTTTCAGCGGGGCTTTGACTTATCAATAAATAGGTTTGAAGTATGATTGGAAGTTAAAATAAGTATAAATGGCAATAAAATAATAAAAGTTGAGTCACTGCCAAAAACTGCATTTGAAAGACTACCCTCTAATAAACTTGACAAGAAGTGACTCTAGGATAGGTATGTCCTGTGTCTTTGAAATTAGGGTTAACGAAACTGTAAAATGTTATCAAGAGGGAGGTATATGATATATGGAGATAAGGCAATGCAAATAAAAAGCAACATTATATAACAATAGATCTTAGTTACAGTCTCTGAAAAATGATTGCAATCCATACTATTGTGTGGCCGCAAGGTATATTCAGCCTGCATGTCCAAAAATATATAGAGGTAGGCTACATGCTATTGGTCCTACTTCAGAATTACCTTATAAAGAAGTTGCTAGTGTATTGAGCACTGACAATTATTGAGGAGATGCTAAATGTGAGTGGATACCTAATTGACTTACTTTTTGAATCTGCTTAGGACTATTCTGTTTTAATAATATTTTTTTTTTTTTTTTTTTTCAGAAACCGTTCGACACGTAGCACTGCCAGAACGAATTGTTGATCAAGCTTTAACCTTTTTATCACAACATACAGATATCACATTTTTAGCAACAGTTCGTCAAGAAATAGGCGATTCTGGAAGCATAATAGCATTTTCATCAAACATTATCAGGTATGTTTTACGGTTACATTAAACTGTGCCCTCTATTCAACGATTGATTTGAAATTTACACACACTATTTATGCTTATGAGACTAAGAAACCAATTTGTTTTCAACAATTGCTGGTATTTACTTTTGAGGTTCTTGTTCTTGATCATTTTAAAAAAATCAGTTGGACCCTATTCAGACTAAGGTTATCTCATCTGATTGATATTAAATGTTTATAGAGTTTTTTTGTTTATGAGATTAAAAAGTCTATCCATTTATGTGTCTGGTTTCCTCCCACTGTTCATTACCCCTGCACACAAGCAAAGTAAAGATATACTTTATTTCTTATTCCACCCTATCGATTTTCAATGATTTCCAATAACTTGAACAGGTTAAGTTATCATAGGATTAGATGTACATGATTTTTTAAAACAAAATTTGATTTTGATAATAACTTTGTGGATTGTTCCCAGTTTAAAGTCTCTTTTAAGGCTCCTGTTACCTACAAAAGAAACCTATTTAAATTATATATTGATATGCTATCTTGCTTAAATTGTAATGATTATAACAATACGTATGGAGAGGGCTACTTTAAGTTTTTAAAACTTATCCTTATCCTTTTGATGTTTGTCAATAACATATGTTTAACTAAAGCTATCTTTAGCATGTTTAAATTTACAAAACCAAAGATCATAATGTCAGTAATTAAGGTACAATGATTTATATGAAAGGAAAAATTGGACCAAATTTGAAAAGAATCCTTTATGCCTTCATGTAATCGGATCTCTGTCGTGTTCACAAACTGGAATAAAATCTGTTTTCCCTCTTTTTCGGATTTATTAGGTAACTTTGAGATATTTGATGGAAGGTTGACACACTGCTGTATAAAGCAGATTGACAGATCAAGTTTGCATTTCGTGGGATTCTGATAATACTTTTACTGAATTATGGTCCTGAAAATTATGCTTTTCAGCATTGTTTTAGGTTAAACTTGGGTATTTGGTTGCAATTCAGTACACTGTTTTAGATAGTGGAGTTACAGACCAATTCCATCTATGGGATTATATACTATTCAAATAAAGTAGGGGATATTTGATTTTTAAGTGTTATTAAAGTCACCTAATGAAACTGATGAAGAAACAAATGACAAAATGAAATGAAGTTCACATTCATCGATTTATTCCAAATGATCGTTAGACTAAGTAAGGCACAGACTGACCATTATAAGGGTAAAATGATAGCCGGGGTCAAACAGCAAAGTTACCACAGCATCACAACCAAGTCAGTAACGGGTAAATCCTCCTCTGTTTGCCAAACAAGCATTGATCCGACGTGGCATACTCCTAATGAGACGTCTAAGGTCATTTTGGTCCAGATTGTCCCATTCCTGTTGCAACGCAGCAGCAAGTTCTTGGACATTGGCAGGACGTTGTTGACATTGACGTAACCTCTGTCCAAGCATGTCCCAGACATGCCCGATGGGGGAGAGGTCCGGACTCAGTGCTGGCCAAGGTAATGTGGTGATGTTCTGTTGTTGGAGGTAACCTGTAACGATCCTGGCCCTGTGACATCTTGCGTTGTCATCCTGGAAGATGAAACGGCGGCCATGACGTCGTGCGAACGGCACAACATGGACTGCCAAGATGTTGTCCCGGTAGTACTGGCCTGTAACACGCCCTGCAACAACATGTAAAGCCGTTCTTCCAGCAACAGTGATGCCTCCCCACACCATAACAGAACCACCCCCAAATCGATCATGTCTGATGACGTTAACGTCTTGGAAGCGCTCGTTTCGATGACGCCACACCCTCCTACGTCTGTCCAAAAAATCAACAGTGAACCTTGACTCGATTATCCCAGTGTTGACGATCCCTACACCAACGACGTCTTGCCTGAATGTGATGATCTCTCAAACAAGGGATCACGCGAGGACGTCGGGCGCGAAGGTGACCCCTATGCAGTCGATTCCGAATCGTCTGGCCACTCACTCTCACACCAGTGTCTGTTTGAAGACGAGCGCTGATCTGATTTGCTGTGATGACACGATTTCTCAAGGCCAAGGTACGGATAAATCGATCCTGGGCTTGAGTTGTCGCCCTTGGTCGACCTGAGCGTGGTCTGTCCTGTACAGATTGTGTATCACGGTATCTGGACCATAGCCTGCTTATGACAGACTGAGAAACATTCATCGTCCGCGCCACAACTGCCTGTGTTGTGCCGATCTGTAGCATGCCAAGGGCACGTAACCTTTCATTTTGGGAAAGCCGACGCATATCAAAATTTGTTTTCTGGTCACTAAAACAATTAAACTGATGTTTCCACCCTGGAATTCAATGCCACAATGACTGTAACATTCAAAGTCAGAGTCGTGCAAATCTTGGGTTGGACCCCCATGATGATTCCAAGCATCACCTGCATTCCATGCGGTAGCTATTGGTGCGTTTGGGCGTCACATGTAACTGGAAATGTTTCTTCTGTTAGGTTCTATAGTGACTTTTTTCGAAGTCATTTGCATATTTTAGTATTATGCCCCCAAAATCAAATATCCCCTACTTTTTTTGAATAGTATATATGCACAGAAATATATTTCCAGTATCAGCCTCTTAACTTATAGATGCATGAATTATACAACTTGTAATACACAGAATGCTTGTTTTACTATCAGATAGTTGTTTTGATATCTTTGTCTAAATGATGCTTGAAGCCTATTTTGTGGATAGAGCAAATATATGAAGTCCATTAGTAGATAATTAATATCAATATTTGGAAACTATTCACTTAAATGAAGTAAATGATTATATGTTAAATATTTACATGAAATACATTACATTAATACCATTGAAGTATTAGAATATGTATTAATAAAATATTCCTGTTTTCTTCTGATTTAATGATATATACATGTAGTGGTACAAGTACCTTAAGGTAATAACTCAATCAAATTTAATTTAATGCCTCATTAGTTCACTAATATTAGTAAGAAAATATTGTATGTGTTGATGATATGCGTCATGTAGCCCTCCCAATAGATACAAGTTCATAAGTGTAATTAGTTTTGGGTAGGTGCCAGTTATTGCGTTTACAATGAATGTATAATGTATACTAGTACCATAGTATTATTGATTGTGTCTAGAAAGTAGAATAAAAACTTGCTAACTCAGTCTGTAAAATTCTGTCCTATTGTACATCTTGGATAGCACACCCTTATCATTTACACAGAGCAATAATAAGAAATCGAGGCTTCCATGTACCGGTAATAAAATTTTATGAAATAAATTTGATATTTTTATATCTCATGATCTGACCTTGAATTCTTGGGTTTGTATGATACATGTTTTATACTGTTAAAACACTGGTCATCCTGTCTGTCAGCAGCTCTCTAATAATTAAACAATTTGAAAGTTTCTTACACTCTACTGAAACTTAAAACCTTTTTTTTACTTGCATCATAACATCTGTTTAAGGCATCATGCTTACAAGATCTGATTACAACCAAAAATCATATTCAGGTGGTATGTAGGTGTGGGGGATTTAGATTAGTTCATATGGATAATTTTCGTACATAAGAGTAAAAGCAGTAGTATTTTAAGGGTTAAAAACTTACCAATCTTTTAATAGTATTACACAAATAGGAATAATTTAAGATTATACAAAAATAAAGATTTTGAAATTACATTAATCATTCTGTGTGATTGGAACACTATTCTCTTGTTGCAATCAAAATTAACTGACTGCATAAAATATGCAGAACTGTTGTAACTCATTTCAAGCACTTTTTTCTTGATAACAGCTTTACTTATGACTTGTCTTTTTTGCACTACATTACATACCTTGAATATATGAATTATCATGTCTGGAACAAACTGACCCAGGCAAGTAGTAGAAGTGCAAAAATAAATATCCTTTGATTTTCTGAAATAGCCATTTTTATTACTTTTAACCCTAATGTATTATATTCATATTTTAAGTTATTCAGAGCATTGTTTTGATTGAACAGATATTGAAACAGTTAATATTTTATAAAGGATCAAAAAGTCTTTTACGTGATTTACCATTCTAACATATATGTTATCTTAAAGATTTCATAACTTTTGATGTGTTATATTTAACTATACAGTACACCTGTTAATAAAATGTCATGCAGGGTGTTACCAATTTAAACTTAAAAGAAAACCACCCAAATCTATTTTGACTGATGAAGGAAAGCTGAAGAAATAAGTCCACAAAGTGTGCTACCCTTCTGCTACAATAGACTAAATATTTATAGGGATAAAGCTTACATCACTGCTCGTGGTATTAACTTATAAATTGTATTTAACCACAGCCAAGACCCTCTACCAATTCTATAGATATTTCTTTTAGACTAAACAAAACAGGTGAAATTACAGAATGAAAATACAATAATATATATATATAGCCACCCTATTCGTGGTACCTTACAGACCACAATCTGCTTGTATCTCATACATACTGCATAGTGTATTGATCATCTGTCAGTTCTTATTAAATGTGCAATTTTAACAATGCGGCAACTAATTTTAAAGAGCCTGTTGATCTTTTATAAGATTAGGGCACAGCACTACTTTTCTGTTCAAATAAAAAAGCTAGACGCTTTTAATTGCCAATAAAATCAGGTGTACAGTAAAAGTTGTACTTTCGACTTGAACAATTTACAACAATTATCAAACTGCAAAATTTAAAACAGTAGAATCATATTTTAATCTTGAGTTTTAATGAAATGCTCATTTGTTTTCTGTGAAACTAATGTAGTGAATTGAGTGCATATAATCAACAATTAGTACTTCTAGTTTAAGATCTTAACAAAGTGGTATTAAATAACCAACCAGAGCTTAATGTTAGGTGGTTTCCACCACATTCTCTCCCAATATTTTGAGAAGAACATATGGTGATGCAAATAAAATAGTTAAACATACATTCTGCAAGAGCTAAATCTGCCTCTTGCAAGTCTTTCTTTAGGCTTCAGATGTTATAGAAATTATTAATTAAAACTTTCTTTACCAACAAACTCAAAATCAACTCTGTAGACCCACGGATGGCTTGGATACAGTTTGGATTTAAACATCCGTCCATTAAAAATTAAATCAATAAATGGCGGACCAAGCTAACGTTTACCATTAGTCGCTGAGGTCATTACCGGAAACTGGTGATGAAAGGCCTGCCAAGTGAGGCTACCATAGCCATTGAGCATGTTACTTGATAATTGAGAATATGTGGGTGGAGTTATCGTCTGTCAATCAAACGATCGCCAATTCTCATAGACGGTGCAGACACAATTGATGCCTGTTTCTAGTCCAAATTTCCAACAGTGACAATTCCGTTCAGAACAAAGTAATAATTTGACTGAAATTTTCAACATTTTCTTTTTTTATCATCTATTTTTGAATTATTATAGCAAGAATGGCCAACTCTTGATATAACTCTTAACTAATGTATCTTTAATAAATGGAAAATACAAAAATATGTCACAAATGTTTATTGAAATAGTTTCTGTTCTGTGTGACATGGTTGATATGGACTATGGGGTCCAATAGAAAAGTCAATGATTAAAATGAAACCTGAAGCCAAAAGTTAATGAATCTTTGCACTCCAGTCAAGATAGGGACAATACTGAGAGCTGCCAAAGTATGAACCTTCAGAAATGAGAAGATAGTCTAAGCACATTGTCTGATATCCATACCCACAAGAACGTGTGCTGGAAAATGGTTTATCAGTCAGTCTGCAATAGTTGTTGGATAAAATCATCAATCGGAGATCATACCATTTAAAATGAGAAATAGGATACAATTGTAAAAATTGGCCACTACTGACTGCAGTTGGTTATTGGAGGTCATATTTTGAACAAGGTATAAAGTTTGTTATGGGTTAAAAGCTGGCCAAGGTGACAATAGGAATCTGTAAATACATAAGGATTGATTAAAGGTTGATCCAACAATCCTCTGGATGAATTCCTCCAATTGTAAACAGATTTTAATGCCTTGTGAATGTCAGCTGAATGTGAAATCCTTCCCATAACTGCTAAGAAGGAAGGAGAAAAATATTTAATGGGACATTTGCTATTTCCAGTGGACATGGCATTTGTTAATCATATCCAATTGTTCCAAGCAAAATGGCAAGTCAACATCAGCAGATGAAAAAATCCCATGAAGCACAGATGGAAGACAAGAAGAAAATCATCAACATCCTGCGCCCTTGGCCATGTTTTGAAAGGCACAGGGATAGACAATCTCTGCACTATTGGTATAGCAAATAGTATTAGGCATCAATTGTATTACCTGGCTAGTGGACATAACTGAATTCAAATACCATTACAAACTACCACTACAGCCTTTTTAGAATCATACCGTATCAAAAGACCGAAAACAGTTCTAGATGTATGAATGATGCAAGTTTGAAACAAAATTTAATAGGTTTCTGAGTTGTGCTGCAGAACGATTATTGTATACAGCTTGGTTGTATTGTCTGGTAACTTAGGTTTCTATACTGAACATTTTAAATTTTATTTAATTTAGTATTTGGGTTATGTCTACACATCAATAACAGTAGATGACAAAGATTTAGTATGAATTATAGTAGAACCAAGATCCTGAAGAGGGAAAATGGAATCAGACTTGATTATATATTTGTATTTTGAATACACATTCACGTTACATTAACCCCAAACAGTTTATTTGATTTCTAACTCTTCAAACAGAAATTCATACATGTTATAATGAAGGTCAAGAGTACAGGGTCAAATCAAAACTCATTTCATTAAAATGCTATAAGGGTAGCAACAATTATTTGATTTCCTGCTTCATGAATTAACTGAAACCAATGCTTCTGTATTTTTCATATTATGCTTTTGAGATATTGATTGCATCTGCTTTCATGAAGATGCAGGTGGTACGAAAGACAAATCAGACTGATTCGTGATTATTATTTAAAATGTTAATCAATAGCATGATAGATTATAGACAGCTCTACGGCACCCATAAATTGATGTTACATCATCATTTATTTATGTTGCTCGCAATAAAGAGAAATGTCATTCCAGTATTTTATTTAATAATAAGCCTTTTCCAACCAGTTTGAAAATGTCTATTAAGTGTAGGATGGAAATTATTACACATATCACAGAAGCATTTAAAGGAGCAGGACCACCTTTTTTTAGATCAAAATAAAAGGTTCATTTGGGTTGATCTGATGTCTGATCGCGGATTGTGTAAACCCAGTAAAGTGAAACAATCATTTGGACATAAAATGTTCATTTTGACAATGTTCAGTCACGATCTACAAATTATGGTTCTATCTGTATTGAAGCTGCTTGTTGATCTGGATACGTTTGTGGCCATCCTTTCCTAAGAAGAAATTATATGCCAACGTTTAAGTTACCAAGAACTGATTGGATCAATGGTTATCCATTTACTTGACTGAAATCTTGTTTGACAAGGAGTTCGTAAAAACATACTCAATAAATCAGTCCAATATAAGTACTTTACAAGGTACCATCTATCGTCTATCAAGATTATTTTCTCATTGGCTCCTAACACTGCCAAGAGGTTATGATTACATGAATATTAGAGTGTTCGGCATCAAGGCTAGACCAAGTAAAACTAGCCTTGCTTCAAGCTAATTGAATGTTTTACTAGGAGACATGGGCTAATTGAATAATTGATTTATAGAAACTTTATCGGATGGTAGCTTGTCTGGTACAATCTTACTATCTACTTTGGTCTTACACATGATAGCAAACACTAATTTCTCTTGTAGACAATTCAAGATTTGTTAGATAATTTGATCAAACCCATTCAGTATGCTATAATGACTGCTACAGACTTAGTGTGCACTTGTTGATATGTGATGACAGTATTTAACATTTCTGAAATTAAATGCAGTTTACTTACTATTTTATCCTAGGCAGGTCAGGTCAAAATTTATAACAGACTACTTTATTAGACGAGCAATTTCCTGGACTTCATATTTGAACATACTACCCCTTTTTTAGGATGGGTTTTATTATCACCAAATCGAAAGTTGTTTGAGATAATTCATTGATTTTGTTGTAAATCAAATTGCTCTGAAGAGGTGATAAAAGCCAAGATCATTTAGTATTCAGTAAGAGTGTCCATTTTCACTACATTACAATCTTTAATAACAGTTTCTAAAATAAATTTTTATACAGCCAGATTTTATGTGAGAGTATAATGTCACCACTCCTGTCTGTCTATACTGTTATTTTCATAAAGACTAGGGCTTATTGCAAACATTGCTCAGTACTACAGTAATTGTCTACCATAGAATTGTGTCCTGTGTAGTTCCAGTTTAATTAATAATAATTCCATTCAAACATTTAAATGGAATTATGGTTGCTCATTTAGATTTTAGAGGACCTCACATCTAATAACAAATAAGCACTTTCATGCTATAAAGAAGTGTCATGGTAATGAGTAAAATAGTCTGATCCAAGTGCATATATGCCCAAAAATATACCACTGACATAAAATTAAATGCATCCATGCCATAATGGTATGTATATTCTGTCATACTAGGTAACATTTTAGATGGAAATATGTATGATTGACAGGAAAACTCTGAAAATTAGATTGAACATCTACTCATGTCGAAAAGAAGCAAAAATGGCGTCCTGGGGGTTTTATTAACAGCAGTGACATCAATTAAACAAACCAATTTCTGATTTTCTTGCTTTACGAACGGTATGCTTAAATTTAATTTTTCCTTTTTTTTTTCTTTTCAGATTTCTAGAAATTGAAAGTAGTGGTAGAAAAGATGAAATTCGATTTCATTATACACATGACCAACAAATCCAAGTGGAAACATTCCCATACAGACTAGCTGACAATCAGTGGCATAAACTTGCTATATCTCTCAGTGCAAATCATCTTGTTTTATTAGTGGATTGTAGTAAAATATATGAACGTGTGATAAAAACTATAGATAGAACGTTCACATCAGGGAAATTATCACTTTTTTTAGGTCAAAGAAACAGTCAACATGCACTTTTTAGGGTGAGTAACATAATGATATACATGTATATAAGTGTGTTTTAATGTGATTTATACATGGATACCATTATCAATCAGTGTTCTTATAGTGGGTGTTGGATTATTACACAGCCTCTCACATCTTATTAGTGTATTGGGATTAAGAGTATGTGTCAAAGGTTCTAGTGAGTTGTGTAAATTGCATAATTTTGAGTATTGTGTAAGCCTATTCGGATTATCTCTTCTGTGATCATTCTAATGGATATATGTGAGTATTTTTATACACTAGTTAAATGATGGAACAATACAGGTATGTTAATGTCATTGTAAATTATGTGCACCTTTGGATCTTGGTGCCAATTCAGCACTTCTGACTAAAATCCAATAATCTATTTTCAAGAGTACATTTCTTGATTTTTAAAAGTCACTAGTAGAGGGTATTTGATAATTTGTAAGTATAGGACAATATCTATATTGTAATATCGTATATAAAAGTATTCTGAACCATTATCCCCAAGAAAAATGTCATGTAAAATATGGTTTCAAAACATATATCAATAAGACACTTCGCTTTGCTACTGCTGACCTTCAACAATTGAAGTTAGAATTGCCTTTAGAGTATTAGCTAGACTTAGTAACTTGGGGACTTAAACCACAAATGAGACATCATTTTAAACATTATAAAATATCAAATTCAGTATAACCCTAGACTCTGAATAGCGCTAATGTAGTTTATATCTCCACATGTTATTCATGCTTTTCCTTTCGGATGTGGTCTCTGCCAAATACATTTAGTTCACCTTGACAAACTTGCAGTTCGCTGAAAGGACATTGTGAAATATGATAGAAAGCTGCCCAACAAGTATGCCATGCATTTCAGTATGATACAGATTCACCATTTTTTGTTGAAATCTACTAAATATGAAAAAGGGAACCTTTTATAAGATATAGAAGCTTTATCACAGCCACCACCTAAGCAACATGCCTTTTTTTATTTTGTCCAATTCTGTATATGGTTGAGCTTTGTAGAACATTGTGGACACTCTACTTGTACATGTAATTATTAAAATAACCATTATAATTTTCTTTTAAAAGTGTATATTATAATGTGCATTATTTTAATATCAGTGAAATGAAAGACACCTACTAAATTTCAAACATTTTTGATAGTAACATACATACATACATGTACATGTAATTATTGCGCTAAATTATTCTGCTGATATATATTGATATATATACATAGTTTAAATTAAGTGGGATTGAGTTGCATTTGAGAGAAATATTCAGGAGAATTAGTTACTGAATTATATCAAAGCTGTGTTGCCATATTGTGATTTTCAGTAATGATTGAATGATAAGAATTTGGGGCTTGGATGGCAGAATGGTTAGCATGTGCGCGCTGTATCATAAGGTCTGTCATTGAGTCAACTGGCATGGTTTTGATCCCCCGGTTGTACGTGACAAGGAGTAGGGTTTCCTCCCATTGCTAAAGATCCCTACACGCAAGCGAATTATTGAAATAAAATTGAACCATGTGTTAGTCCCAAAATGACCTAGTTTGTGTCGAGTGGTCGTTTAACCCCATTTCTCTCTCTGATAAGAGTTAGTGCCCATGCCATGGTGATCATTTGTACTATTGTTGCCATGTTCAGTATTTAATCAGAAAAATAGGATGTAGATGTCTCTTTTTGTATACACATACTGAAATCCCAAGCAAAGACCACTTGTGTATGAAAATGTGGTTGGAACAAATTTTGACATTGATTTTGTTTGTCATTGCTGATGAATTGACTGCCAGTCATAAAAAATGCAAACCCTTTCAGCTCTTCTGAGCCACTCCACCTGGCCAATAAATGAATATATCATCATCAAATTAACACACTAACCCAATATTGTTGAAATCAATCAAGTGGTTTGGCAGAAAATGTATATACTATATTTGCCCTCTGAGGTGTCTCTTTTCACAAAGGTGCTGGTGTGTGTATGTTGAATACAGCTGGAAGATTGTGTGTTCAGTATCGAGTGCTTTAATAAATCTATATATTTTAGTTGCAAAGTTAAATATTCCATTTGAAACTCCAAATCATAAACTTACTATGTTAATGCTTAATTTTTATCCGATTAGGGTAGATTAATCTTGGTGAATGTTATTCTTGGAATCATGCTTTCCTAAAATTAAGAGTATTTGACTGTTCCCTTCAGAAAATGTAATTATATTCTTAATAAAAATAGAGATATGAGTAGCCTAATTATCATCTGAAGTCAGCTCTGATAATAGCATGTGTTAAGCACAATAATAATATACTTCCTAGGAATTTTCAATGAAATGTCCACACAGGACGCATGTTCAGGGGACCTGACTCGGTATGTATCAAAATTTGTGCCACCTTGAAAACTCAACTTGCTATTCCTCTGTCATTATCCACTGAAATGGATTTTATATTATTGTATATAATGTAAAGCTTATCTGTAAGTGGATTTAACGACTTGTAATATTCATAGGTTCGATATATATTTTAGTCACAAGGAGTAGAAATAATTATGTTGTGCATAGACCAGGGTCGTGTCATGTGACTGAACACCATATAGATTTTCTATTAATTAGAACGAATGTGTGCATGTGTAATGTTATGGTGAAGAGAGCTGTTATGTGTGAGTATGGAAGTGCTGGAGGTATCAGGAAAGGAAAATCACTGAAAGTAGCCAAGGTCACAGTGAAGCCACTTTTTTGACGAAAGTATCCAGTTCATAACATGTGGTTGTATACATACACAATAAGAAGTTAAAGTTCCTGTACAAAGAAACATTTTGTCTATTATTATACACCTGGGTTTTTTTCTTGCAAGAAAATGAACGTATGTACACGCAGCTGATGACTAGCGTAAACAGTGACTATAACTGACTGTACCCATCCCTTCAAATTGTACATAAACATTACAAGAGTTTACCTCTGAACACTTACACCTCAATCTAATTTTTACACTCTATGTTCACATTATTTATTTTCTACATATAAAGGAGCAGATCCAGGTAGGGGTGGGGGGGGACCCACCAACCCACCGGTCAGGCTCAATTTAGGGAGTTCAGGGCCCAAAATTGTCAAAAATGGCATCTACAGCTTTCCATTTTCCCAAATTCTCTAGGGAAGGCCACCAAGACCCTCATTGTTGTGGGTATTTTGCGCTCGTGAATAACAACTACAACATTTCAATACGGACCGAACAGTAGGATGTTAAACCCTATTTCATTTCATTTCATTTACTTCAATATCGAGATCCAACCCTGTTTTATCAGTGCAGACAGTAAAGACAGTGAGCATGTCTTGAGAATTTTTCATAGATTGAGTGTTGAGCTTACTCAATATTCAATCTTAAATCAAATTTAAAACATGCTGGGATTCTACTTACAGACATACATGTAGTTTATCTTTTCTACAGCCTACACACCACCTGATATTTCATGGGTTAATTATTCTAAATGAATGTGAACATGCACATCTGATTTGAAGATAAAATTTCTGAGATATTATTTGACCATAGAAATTGATAAATGTAATATAAGCTGGAAGTTTTCTGTATCAATTTTACTGATATTCGATCTCACATGCTAACATATTAAAGTCTGGCAACAAATATACGCCCACCAGCAGTTTCTATTGGGAGGGCATGTAGAACATTTACGAAGTTGTGGTGACAAGGGTGATAACTCTGCATTCTGTTTATTTAAAAAGTCTCAATTTTACCTTTCCTTAAGAACAAATCTGTTGTTAGTTGTGAGAACAATTCCTTTTGAAATTCAGGTCATGGGGTGACAATTTATTACAAAGTAATTAGCCTACTCTTTCAATTGAAACCTTGTGCCAATTCAGGGTTTTCTTCCTCCTGACAAGCATCAAAATGGTTAAACAACTTTGATTCAGGTCCTGCCAAAAATTGTTGATTATGTTGATTTGTATTGTGCGATGACAATCTGCCTTCAGAGTCTATAGATAAAATCAGTGTTGAGATATAAACAGGTTTGTGTTCCAGTGTGGACAAAGTAAGCTAAATATGAAACTATAATTAATAAGCTGTTCGGCCTCGGCTTAACTTAGCAAAACAAATTTTAATTGTATAAAGTTTGTCCGATCTTATTAAAACCAACTGAATACCGTACTTTATTTTGACTTACATCAAAGTGTTTCAGCTCCTCTAAGAAAGTAGCCTTTCAAAATAAGGTGTCATTTTATGATTAATGCAGGAATTATTGTCCTTGTCACCAACCTTTGAACAGACTTGTACATGACTAAATTTGAGGAAGATGTGCCAATTCATTCTGATTAAAAAGACATTAAGAAATTCATTACCACACCAGTGGTATAAATTAAAACAATAGTGGTTTTTAAGGATTTCAGCAAACACTTTTCAAAATGTTGGGCTCCAAGAAGGTCGGTGCTTGAATTTTCAAAAATATGGGGAGTCTAGGTAATATTGAAATAAATATATGCCTACATTTAATCTATAATAATCTTGTTCTCTCACAAATTCTGGGTTTGTGCTATGGCACAGTTACTGCTCTTGGTCTGACCATTACTTGGTTATATCATCCATGCCAAATGTTGACAAATTTGAAATTCATTATATCTTTGTGATATACCATTTAGACTAGTATATTCCCTTTAAAAATTAGAAATCTAACATTCATAAGAGTTATTGTTCTGTTGGTATGTTTTAATGTTCTTCTGTTACAAACATTGTGGCAAATTACACTGGGTTTTTTTTTTAAGGTGAGCTTTTAGGCAACCAACTGTCAGACACTTTTTAATGGTATAAAAACATGAACCACTCTGACACTGTAAATTTAGTTCATTAAAGAAAAGTAGCTCACCTCAGTAGCTATCAGTTCATCACTTTCTATCATCATTCAGTTTTGTCTTTGTCTTTGTTTTCTTGTCATGTTTAATAAATAGCAGTCACCCTGACACATCTGGACAGACAAAACACCTTTCCTTTTATGGGCATGCAAGCTAGGCAGACTCAATTATAGTTCTTAAAGGGGGGTAAATCTATTAGTTTCATATTTTTTCTTGGTTTTCCAGAATTTCTAGGAAGGAATTTAAAAAACTTTTCTTGAAAATGTTTAGATTTATTTAAATTCATGATTTATTGGTAGAGAGGTCCACTAGACCCAATCCTTGTTTCTGAATTTGTTTTGACTTGTTCTCCATTTGTTGCAAACATAAGGCTGTAGGTCTATCTATATTGAATTATCTTTGAAAGACAGTTTTTTCTTTATGCATTTTGTAAATTTCATTTGAATAATTTCTAGAACTACTTACAAACAGTCAGTGTACATGTATATGATGTGAATATTATTTTATCATCAGTGTCCAATCATTCTTTGGATTTTTTAAATTATTTTTTTATTACCTTTGTTCGTGCATAAATGCAGTCTGAAATACTGTGCGATAATTCATGAATTGGTTTTGAAAAGGGTTTTGGTAAATATTTTGCTATTGTTTTTGTTTATATGTATGCCTACATGTAGATGCCTTTATTTTTAACAGGGCTGGACACATGTATTACTGAGCGCTTGAATTTTATAGAGGGGGCGAGCGGGGGTGGGGGGAGACCTAGGATACACTCTACCTTGAGTACTAAATAGAACACTGATGTAATTTAGTGAATCATGTTGCAGTGTACTTGGATTTCTGACAAAAAATTGAATCATATGGTCAATTGTTGGTAAATTTCCTCTATCCTCTGACACCCGTATGTTTAAATTTGGTTTTATGGTCCACATTTAATGTGTATGCTTATTGTTGTCACTTTTGTCCACTGTCTTTCCATAATTATTTGTGAACACTCGATTTAGCATTGATTTGCATTTTCAAAACCAAATTTCAGAGTTATCTCCCCAATTACATTCAGACTTATGAAAACATTGACAATTCAATACAGAAGAAAGTTCTTTAATTAATTTTTTTTTTACACAACTTGGTGGGATTGTTTAATCGAGTGTGTGGATAAAGCCTATTGAATATCAAAATTAATAATAGTAGACGCATTTTACTGAATTATATTTCCTGTTTAAAAGTTTGTGAATCAGATACAGCACAAGGTTAGGATGGAATTTTTTAAAACACAGCGGTATTATTCATTTAACAGGATTTTTTTTTTCTTCTTTTTATATTGTTCATTTAGTTATTCTGGTGAGACTGAGATCTAGGGTCGGTTTACATTCAAATTTATGAAATTCAGGAGGTTGCTCAATCTGGTATGTGAAAAAATACTACTGAATTTCAAAAGTTTTTTTTTATTGTAAAATTTGAATATTTGTCTTTTTATGGTTAAGATAAAGCTTTTGAAATTGTACAGAAAAGTATTAAAAATAGATTTCTTAAAAACTTGATGCTACTGTTAATTGGGGCAAGGAGGAACCATATTGTGATTCAGTGGTCTTTTCTAATCTATAACTGAAACAGACAAGAGCCTTTCTGGGCCCTTATTCACGAAAACTTAAACTAAGATACAATCGAAATTTTAAGAAATACTGCAATTCGATTGGCTGACCAGTAAAATCAATTTGCATATATCCAATTTGCATGTTGTTCAGTCAATCGTATTGCAGTATTTCTTAAAATTTCGATTGTATCTTAGTTTAAGTTTTCGTGAATAAGGGCCCTCGTCAGTAGTGCCCCAAGTACTTTAATGCATAAAGTGACACTTAAGAAGGAAAGATGTGTTATAGATTTTCTGTAGATATGCATATTGTATACACTATATCCAATAATTTAAATGATTTCATAAATATTTGACAAAATTATGGCTAATTGAAAGACAAAGTGACAAAGAGGAACTGTAATTTACTCTGGATAAACTATTGATGGAATCTACACACAAAAATAAATGTGTGTAACTCCATATCAAAAATTCAGTTCTACTATATAAAAATTTAGAAATATACAAATCAGGACCAAAAAAATGTTCTTGTTGGTTGTTAGTAAAACCTAAATTCAGAATAATTTGATCATCTATTTCAGAGCTGTTTCTCTATTTATTGTCAAATTCATGAAATGTTATCACTAGAATATTTTTTAAGCTTTCTGAGATGGTTCTTCTGGAAGGAAGGACCCTATTGAATTTCAATATTTTAAGACTATAGATTTTGAATGTGTTTTTCCATTGACATTAAAGAATTTTACAATAGTTGCTCTGTTGGTTTTGTTCAAAATGATTTTAGATTTTACTGATGGTGGGTATATGAAAGGGTCTATATATAATGATTTCTCCTATCCTTCATTTCTTCTCATATTCTTATTAAAGGTTAATCTATATTTCTTCTATTATAGGGATCTTTATATGATGTAAAAATTGTTACCCAAGCCCATGGTTATTTACTACAATGTCCTAATCAAAATACAGGTAAATAATCAACTTTAAAATTGTACCTCATTTTTCAAAATACATCATACTGGTTTGCAAGTAAAGTCACATCAGGGGTTACTTCGGTGAACTTTGATTGAATGATGTTATCTACCAGTATTTGTTTTGTTCTCATAAATTCATAATTGCATTCTCCCATTAAGCTCGTCTAAAATGACAATTTCATTGACTGATCTGAGAGAATGTGATTTATTCAAAAATCATTCCAGATCCTACCTTCATAAAGACTAATAAAGCGAAATTTCAGCTACAAAAGAACAAAATGAAATAGGACGTGTGTTTTCATCAGATGGCAAAAGTTAACAGAATTTTATAAATTAAAAATATGTGTATCAGAGAGCAGTATGTGAAAGATAAGAACTCTTGACAGTTGGAATTCACAGCTGCTGTCCAGGCAATATTTTCCTCGTAGCACATTGTAACGTACACGCCTGGTGCACTCCTGTCTTCGTTAGATCAGCTGGTACAGAAAAGTAGGGTGTTAAACCTCATTTCATTTCATATTTCATACTCTTATATGTACAATTTGTTACAGATTGTCCCACCTGTGCTCAGTATAAAGATATGGAACAAAAAATAGAAGAAATGTATAGTTTATATAAAAATATGTCTAATAAGGTAAGTTGTTTTTACGTAGTTACCAAAAATACAACAAGGTAGAAAGTTATGAGAATTTGACAAACTACATGTACCTGGTAGTATATGTAATACAAGTTTACAGAAAGTCAAAGGACTAGCAGTATCCATCTCATGCAATGACCAATTACAATGCTTGAAACTTTTTCAGTTTGAAATCATTAACAGAAGAAGAAATGTAGGTGAAAAAACAATCCGATTAAATAAACTACAGATCTATAATTCGTTTCGTTATTTTTATACCTTCGATGGCCTACATCAGATTGGTGAAAAAATAGGAAATTGAGGTCCCAGTAGCTTTTGCTATATGGATTTTAAATTGATAGTCGTTCAAATCATTAACGAAGCTGAATTCAGTAATAATCAATTTAACTTTATTTCAGCTTTTAAAGGCTGAAGAACGAATAAGTGGTTTAGAACAGTGTGAATGTTCAAAAAGTTGTTATGATAATGGAACAATTCATAAAGAAGGGGAAATGTGGGAAAAAGATAAATGCACTAGGTGTAGTTGTCGGGTAAGTAAAAGAGAACATTGTTCAGTTAATGTTTTATTATCTCTGTTGAAAATTCAACAAGTGGATACATAGGAAACAATGCTTAGTACCGCTCAACAAGATTATTGTTCTTGGTATAGGTTTTCTAAAATCCTATTTGAAAATGACTCTAGAAAATGAATTGAAAGCTACATAACACATCAATTTTGTATATGCTCACATTTTAATGTGGTTGTATATTGTTGTTACCCCAGTCCATATTAGAATTTATGTATAGTGTTAATATTTATGCAACAAAGAATTGTATTGATTGTTAAGACCATCAAAAGGCTACAGTTATTATGTGGACTGCTTGTATGACTTAGCTGATATGTTTCATTGTGGCAATACTATATACCGGAAAACTACCGGAAAACACCATGTTATACTGAATACCGGAAAAACACTAAATACCAGAAAAGACACTAAATACCGAAAAACACCCTAAATAGGTAACCCAGAGCCTGGTCCTCTGTTTGCGGAGAGTTAGGGTTGGGTTTTTCTGGTGTTTTCCAGAGGACCAGCGGTGGGTTAGGGTTAGGGTTAGGTTTTGCCGGTGTTTTCCAGAGGACCAGGCTCCGAGTTACCTATTTAGAGTGTTTTCTGGTATTTAGTGTGTTTTCCGGTATTAAGTGGTTTTCCGGTAGTTTTATGGTAGTTTTCCGGTTGTTTTCCGGTGTTTTTCGGTGTTTTCCAGTATATAGTATAGCCCTTTCATTGCCTGGTAACCTCTCTTATTTGAGTAGTTCAAATTATAAGAAGTAAATATAATTTAAAACTATCAATTTGAGAATTTGTCTTATAAATCTAAATCGAAAATCTGAAACTGAGGAAAGAAATAAATATTGCTAGTCAATTCTTAGACAGTAAATGAATGAATGTAATATTATCATAATTCTTATGGTTTTAATTTTTTTTGTAATTTGTATATTTACAGAATGGGTCAATACATTGTGGTAGTGTAGATTGTCCGTTAGTAAAATGTTCTAAACCTGTCTATAGAGATGGTACATGTTGTCCATTTTGTTTAAGTAAGTTTAAAAATATCAAATCTTATAACTAGAGAAAAACACACTAAAAGTGTACATTTCAAACATTATAATCTTTACAAATTTTTTAAAATTTATTCGTTTATTTATAAATAAAATACTGTTGTTTTTTTTCCAGCAAATTGTTATTATAGTGGGCAATATTTTGACCATGGTCAGGATTTTAAACCTCGTGTTTGTGTTAATTGTACCTGTGATGTAAGTAGGATTTTCATTTTAATTTGCATGTTTTATTGAAGTTAGAGCATGGAATCTAGCTACCATTACAGATATTTTGTACTCTACATGTATATTCTAGCTGGTGTATGCGTGAAATAGTATTCTAGCTGGTGCATGTGTGAAATAGTGTGTGAAATAGTTTTACCTTTATTTAACGTCCGTTTCCACCGGATGTTAAATAAAGCTATTTCACACACTATTTCACATGCATATTCTAACTAGTGTATGCGTGAAATAGCGTATAAAATAGTTTTAGCTTCCACCGGATGTTAAATAAAACCTTTTCACGCATACACTAGCTGGAACATACAAGTGGAGTGTATGCATATTATACATATATCCTAATACCGGTACTGCACATTCTAGGTACTGTGTATTCCACATGTATATTCTAGCTGGTATATATGTATTACTGCCTATTCAAGTTACTGTGTATTGCATATGTATATTCTAGCTGGTACATGTATATATGTATTGCCCATGTATCTACTGTCTCTTCTAGCTGCCCTGTATTCCACATGTATATTCTAGCTACTATGTATTCTACATGTATATTCAAACTTGTGCAGTGTATTCTACATGTATACCAATAATTGTACTGTATATTCTAGCTACTGTATATTCTAATTGTATATTCTAGGTGCTATCCATTCTAAATGTATGTTCTAGCTACTGTGTATTTTACATGTTGCACATAAGAATAGCCTGTTCCAAATTCAGATATCTACTGAATAAAAATACTGTTTATAAAACAAATGTATTGTATGGTAATTCTGTATTGTACACATTATACATTCATTCTACATTACAAGCACAATAATAACTATTGCTGAAAACTACTTTATTTTAGAATGGAAAAATGATTTGTGAACAGCAAGATCCAGAAGAAAGCTGTCCAAAATTAAATTGTCCAGAAAGTGAGAGATTACAAATTCAGGGAGAATGTTGTCCTGTCTGTAAAGGTAATAAAATATGGGGCCTGTAATTAATCTGGTTTATAAATAACATTTGATATTATTTTAAGACCATTCCTATCAGAATTTGTAAAAAAACACAACAAAAACATGGATTCTTATCGTAGAATAAAACCTGATGTAGGTCTTGTACTCCATCACTGATTTAATAAGACAGAATATGGGAGGTATATATAATTAACCATCATGAAGCACTAGTTTAAACATGTACACCTATAAATATATCCTATGTAATGAAAATATTTACTTACTAAACTTCCTTGCTAATCTAAAGAAAGTTTTCTTGATTTACTTCATTTAAAGAGACAGTCAATGATAAGGAAACAAATTAAATTATTTTGATTGGGTGATTATTTGATTTAAGACAATGATACTTGTCTGTGATTGTATCTGAATAACTATTACTGACAATATAATCTGGGGTCTAGTTGCTTGAATAAGCCAAAGGGTCATTGACTCTTATACTATTTACTACCTTTTAATGTTATTTCTTCAAATTAATAATGGTTTTGACTTTGTCATCATATCACTTATTCAATGTAAAATGTCTTGGGTTGGGATAATGATTATATTGAATTATTTTTTCCAGTAAATTTATAGAATATATTATATTTTTCAGGCACAAATTTTTGTGGCCTTGGACATAACTGCCATATCAATGCAACTTGTGTTAATCTTGCCACACGCTATGCATGTCAGTGTCAACTTGGATTTCAAGGAGATGGCATACATTGTGAAGGTAAGCAATTTTTTACAAATCTTATCCCCCATCACAGTTGCCTTTCTTTCTATTGTACATTGGATGACTTCAGACAGGTGGTTATTGATGAATTCTGAATGTTATGTTGAGTTATTGTCTTGAAGAAATTTGTCAGAGTAATCTGACTGAATTTGGTTGTGGATCTCTAGAGCCCTCACTTTATCAGCAGTAGACATCATTTCATTGAATTCATAATTCAACAGATTAAAGAGATCCATGATTTCAATTTTAGATAATAACAATTTTAATAAGTCTAGAAAGGTCAGACAGACTTTCTCTGATAATACAGCACACATTGAATACAAACTGTAAACTGAAGTTCTAGATCATGATAACATATAAATTTCAATTTTCAACAGTTAGGAAATGTGTATAGATTTTGAGATAAAACTGATATAGAATAGTTATTTCAAGCCACTAAATAATTTGATTTTTGTGGTTACTCATTAATATTAATATAAAGATGGTCAGACTGTAACCATATATAAATACCCAGAAGTTAACAAAAGAGTATTCCTATTTATGCCATTAATTTGATTGAGGTGAAATATAGAGATCACAGAGAAATGAAATGGGGTTTAACAGGCTACCTTGCTGCACTAACCATGCTAATAAAGATGGGCATACGGTATACAGCCGTTATGAGGGAAATCTTGCCTTGACATCGGTGCTATGGTCTACTCTTATTCTGAATTCAAACTGTCATGTTTTTTTTTTTACTTGCATACCAAAAGATACATGGGACCTCAGTTTTTCTTTCCTATGCATTTTTATTTCCCAAACCCTCTGTCCAGCCTCATTGCAAGGGGGAAACAAGATCATAAAGAGTTTGTAGACTAATAGACTGGATCTTTCTTATCTTTGGTACAGTTCTACCACATGTATTCAATGAACAATGAATTATCATGTTATGTGAAATGTACATCCGCTTTAAATAAATAAATAAAAACTTATTACATAGGTAAATGTAGATTATGGCTATTTTTGTTTTTAATTTGATACAATCCTTTATATTTTTCTACCTACCTGTTGGTTTGAACTTTAATGTGAAGATAAGTGAAATAAGACATGAGATAAGTAATAAGCGGAAATGTTTCAGCCAGTCTATGTATAGCTATGTCTACACGTACTGTATACATACACCTATATATACTTGTATTTATATATCTGTAGGTAATACACACACACACATATATATATATATATATACCTGTGTATATACCCAACTTCTATACAAATATATCAGTGCATGAGTCACACTTCATTTCAAATTCTGCTGAGGAATTATACACTTTTTGAATTAACGGTAACACTTCTCTCATGACAAAAAATAACATCTTTGGAGTTTAGCAAAATAGTTTATGGAATATGTTCCTTTTCCTATGTGGAATAAAATGTACATGATCAGATATAATTTGATGTATAATTTTTTTTTAGTTTTGAAATATTTTTTTATATAAAAGTTTCAAAGAATATAACATAATAAGCTCGGGATTCTCTAATTTGTATTGTAAACTTGCTGATTCCACATACCTAAAAGCAGATATAACAAATATTGACTTACATAGTATGTAGACTGGGATGCCATGACTAACAGAAAAAGAACGCAAACATGCTTTTTGGCACGGTAGAACCTTACATCTCATTCTCCCGTCATAACATGATTTTGGTGTCACCATTGCGCAATGTAGTCAGACTGGAAAATATTTATCCTTTGATCCAAGAGTAAGTTCCTACCTTAATTCTGGACTGCTTAATTTTTATTGGGCATGGTTTATCCAAGTCTGGAAAGATGAGAATTATAACGGTGTTGCATACACAGGTGATCACAAATTTCAGTATCAAAATATGTGCAAAATTTTTCCGTTACTAGTTCGTTTAAATAGTTATTTATGTTTCTTTATAAGCCAGAGATTAGGGTGGCCTTTAGGATGTTATATACCTTAACAGTGAGATCAAAAAAATATTGATTATTTTCTTTATACTGAAAGCATCTTTACAAGTTCTATCAAATTCTCTCAAATATTGATTTCTTTACAATGTCTTAAAATTTAAATTTCACTCTTAACAGCTAAGAAATTTTCAAACAACTTAGGTAAAAATATTGTTTATGTCCATGAAAACTAGGGTATTCACTAAAAAAAGAAATGTTAGTTGGGTTCAAGTATGATTAAGCCTCGGTTAACAAATTCTCAGGTAGCATATCAAGTTTGGTAAGGAAATATGAATTTTGTAAAGCTTGCCCCAAAGCAACATATGGCACCAAAATTTGTTTCGTAGCTAATTCATTCCATTTAGCTTAGTTATTTATTTCCAAGAGTGTCAGAATATGATTTACATCAAGATTTTCACAGACTATTACATATGAATCCTGAATATTATGCTACTATTTAGTAACATTCTGTTATTTTACTTTAAAATAGGATTTAAAGATGCATTAAATGTTATATAAATTATTATTCAAACATTTATTAACATGACAAGTCCACAATCATCTCTCTAGACCATCAGATTTTAAATAGATTAGATAGAACACAACAGAAGTGTTATGGATAAAGTAGATAATCAGGACTCAGTCTCAATTGTCAAGTACAATAGCTGCGATAATAAACAATCTAGTAATTTGACTGAAATATTCAATAAATCCATTTTTCATCATCTATTTTGAACTGTTATAGTGAGAACGGCTAGCTCTTTATCTAAGTCTTACATAATGTATCTTTAATTGGTATGTCTGTGATATATATTAGACAATTCAACCAACACAATAATTTCATTCTCATAGATGAGACGAAGTGGTATTAAATAAGAACCAATATACCCAGCCTCATACCCCAGAACAAGTTCTTGGTATAAGGCCGAAACTGGCAACAATGCCCCCAATATAATGTAGAATATATAAAAGCACAAGTGTATACAGATAGCAAAGTATATGAACTTCTAAAGAAAGCACATAGATTATATGGGCATAATACATCTAATAATTGTTAAACTGATATCTTATGAAAAACAACAAGGTGTTCAGCTAGGTAAAGAATATTTCAAGAATTACATGAATGAGAAGATGATTTGTTTGTTGGTGTTATTAACCGTACAATAGTACACCTGGTGTTTTCTTAGTGTGCGGTAAAGGGCTTCAAGTTCCAGTGAGAGGGTGTACATTGAATCACTGCTGTATGAACTAGTACCAGTTTTATCAAAACCATATTCAGTGTTGTAGGTTAGAATTTCCTCTGATGATGTTATAACAGTTATCTGCTGTCTGAGTAATAGTTACAGTGTGGCTCGACTAACATCAGAATGAAATACTTCTACTTGTATTGCACAATTTGTACTAAGTTTTGGTATAAGACAGTATGTAGGCTAATGTGAAATTTAGGCACACATGCTGAAATTAGACAATTTTTCATATTATATCTATACAATATCAGTACTGTACATGTATGCCTAAAGAATCTTTGATAATGTTGGAACACAAGAACTTGGCTTCTAATTGCGGTATAATGTTCAACTTGGTGTAAAGTGTAAACGTTCATGTGATGAATGTCTCTACTGAGTTGGATGATGATTAGTCAATGCTTTATTAATGTTTTATTAATGATATTATTTTTGGGTTAAGGTGAGCGGCATCAGTCTTACTGTTGGCCCCATTGCCATATGCCTTACTTACAGTGTTGGTTAAAGAATGACACCTTTGCAAGCAAAAAAAAAAAAAACGACATTAGTTATATGCAAAAATATCCCAAACTACCAATCAATGATTTATTTTTGCTTTTATACATGTAGACATATACATATATGAAATGGATGTAATTCCCAAAGCAAAATATCTTAAATAAGATCATTTTCATTGTCAGTATAGAACTCTAAAGCTGACAGTTTGACACCACCTGTAAAGACAGTAAGACTTCACACCAGAGATACATTACTCAGTTGTAGTGGTACTTTGACATTTAAAATTATTAAAGGAGATGATTCATTTATTTATATATTCTTATAATATATAGACAATGATAAGAGGTTTCTAAATATACTATTCAAAAAAAGTAGGGGATATTTGATTTTTAAGTGTTATTAAAGTCACCTAATGAAACTGACGAAGAAACAAATGACAAAATGAAATGAAGTTCACATTCATCGATTTATTCCAAATGATCGTTAGACTAAGTAAGGCACAGACTGACCATTATAAGGGTAAAATGATACCCGGGGTCAAACAGCAAAGTTACCACAGCATCACAACCAAGTCAGTAACGGGTAAATCCTCCTCTGTTTGCCAAACAAGCATTGATCCGACGTGGCATACTCCTAATGAGACGTCTAAGGTCATTTTGGTCCAGATTGTCCCATTCCTGTTGCATCGCAGCAGCAAGTTCTTGGACATTGGCAGGACGTTGTTGACGTTGACGTAACCTCTGTCCAAGCATGTCCCAGACATGCTCGATGGGGGAGAGGTCGGGACTCAGTGCTGGCCAAGGTAATGTGGTGATGTTCTGTTGTTGGAGGTAACCTGTAACGATCCTGGCCCTGTGACATCTTGCGTTGTCATCCTGGAATATGAAACGGCGGCCATGACGTCGTGCGAACGGCACAACATGGACTGCCAAGATGTTGTCCCGGTAGTACTGACCTGTAACACGCCCTGCAACAACATGTAAAGCCGTTCTTCCAGCAACAGTGATGGCTCCCCACACCATAACAGAACCACCCCCAAATCGATCATGTCTGATGACGTTAACGTCTTGGAAGCGCTCGTTTCGACGACGCCACACCCTCCTACGTCTGTCCAAAAAATCAACAGTGAACCTTGACTCATCTGAAAACATCACATTGCTCCAGCGTCGATTATCCCAGTGTTGACGATCCCTACACCAACGACGTCTTGCCTGAATGTGATGATCTCTCAAACAAGGGATCACGCGAGGACGTCGGGCGCGAAGGTGACCCCTATGCAGTCGATTCCGAATCGTCTGGCCACTCACTCTCACACCAGTGTCTGTTTGAAGACGAGCGCTGATCTGATTTGCTGTGATGACACGATTTCTCAAGGCCAAGGTACGGATAAATCGATCCTGGGCTTGAGTTGTCGCCCTTGGTCGACCTGAGCGTGGTCTGTCCTGTACAGATTGTGTATCACGGTATCTGGACCATAGCCTGCTTATGACAGACTGAGAAACATTCATCGTCCGCGCCACAACCGCCTGTGTTGTGCCGATCTGTAGCATGCCAAGGGCACGTAACCTTTCATTTTGGGTAAGCCGACGCATATCAAAATTTGTTTTCTGGTCACTAAAACAATTAAACTGATGTTTCCACCCTGGAATTCAATGCCACAATGACTGTAACATTCAAAGTCAGAGTCGTGCAAATCTTGGGTTGGACCCCCATGATGATCCCAAGCATCACCTGCATTCCATGCGGTAGCTATTGGTGCGTTTGGGCGTCACATGTAACTGGAAATGTTTCTTCTGTTAGGTTCTATAGTGACTTTTTTCGTAGTCATTTGCATATTTTAGTATTATGCCCCCAAAATCAAATATCCCCTACTTTTTTTGAATAGTATATGATAGGCAGCTTTAATTAATGGATGTATTTGTGAGGTAAATTAAACGAATTTGACTGGTGCACTCAATTCAGCTCAGAGATTCAATATAAAGTGGCTTTTATGACAGCACTAATGCATTCGTAATTTAAGAGTATTGCTTGAACGGTGCCACCTTACAAATTTTTAAAGGTTGGTTTGGGGAGCTCTCACTGTTATCTGCCTATATTAGATTTTTGATATATCATAATTATTTATCGTTTCAGATATTAATGAGTGCTTAGCGGAAGGTGGGAAGACTGGACATCATTGCCATAGCAACACAGTATGTGTGAATACGATTGGTTCTTACGCCTGTCAGTGTTCAGATGGTCACAACCGATTGGACGCGTATAGTTGTGAAGGTAGCAAGACTTATACACTGGAGACACTTTTCACGTTATGGCTGTGCCTTATTTTGTATCATATTTTGTAAATAGCTCTTTGTAAGCAGGTGTAATATATTCTAATAAGGCTGTGTATATTATTTAACAAAACAAACCCAGAGATATTGTTGGAAAAAGAATGTATCCATCTATTTTTAGAAAGAAATTGTTTAAAGATAAATTATTATTGATGGCTACATTGTATTGGTAAGTTATGATATCTTTTTTACTACCTCTCAAAACAACTGTAGATAAAATGCAAAGAATAAATCCCATTTCCTAAAAAGAAAGAAAACATCCTTATCTGTCATCAAAAGTTCAAGGGAAGACCATGGAATGGTGTATTCTGACAAGATGAAACAAAATCAACCAAACATTTCACTTATCCAATACAAACATTCAAGAGTTACAAAAATACAAAATGATTGGGAGCACTTTTCATATGAATTTGGATAATATTTGATCAGAATTTTATTCTAAGCTGCAATGTTTCATGCAGGTGTCGTGAACACTGAATCAACATCACTATCACAACCTTCCCAACATCTCTCCTGGACAGAAACCACATTTTCAATAATTGATCAGAATGAACCAGTTTTTTTATTCATGAACTAGCATAAAAGCAGTGCATTGCACTTCAAAGTTCATCTAAACATTCGATGGCATGCTCTCTAATTGCCCGTAGAAGTGTTAAGAGGACAAATATCAATATCACCATGTCAATTTGTTAACGTAAAAGGTACAATAATTGATTTAGTAGAGACACGATTAAATGCTACATGGACCATGTTTAGTAAAATCTCTAAACTCAAGCTCTAGTGGTGACATGTCAATTAAGACGAGAGACAACATATCACATGACTCCAATCTTAATACTATAAATAAGTTTCTAATTTCAACCATAGCAGTTAATCAATACACTCTAAATGTCCATGTACAGACTCTTCAGATTTTTTGCTCGACAAAACATACACGCTTTTCCGACAAAATTGCAGTTCCAGAGAATTGCATCCTATGTGGCTTAGAGTACATGTACATCTCTCAAATTGTTTGAGGTCATTTACGATGCATTGCTCATTATACAATGACGAGTATGAATTTAGATGATACAAATGATTGACTTTCCATTATCAGAAGAAATGTATAGTATAAATAAGCTAATAGGGCATAATTATTTAAATAAATTTCAATTTTCTCTTGTGCATTGGGTCATTAATGTCAAATATTAAGAAAATTGAATTTCTAAATGTTCCTTATAATTTGGGCTCCTGATTTTCTTTGGTTTTAAAAAAAAGCTTAGAGATATTTGCAGCAAGATGTCTGTTAGATAGAACATTAATTACAGTTTCTGTACGAGTGCGTGCTCAGAGACATGGTATGATGTCAGACTAACCTTCTCATCGATTAGGTGACTAAGTTTAACACCATCAATAAAGTAAACTAATAAAGACCACTACAAGTATTTCACCATTCTTTATTCTATTGATTGAAATAAATTTGGACAGTTTCCATCTTACTCATCAGATGAATGTAACGAGAGGAAACTGAGATAAAACATAGATTAATAAAACAGCATGATTCTCACTTTATATTACTGTATCTCTTGATTACTATAAACCATAGTATAGAAAAAAACCTAATAAACGTACCAGAAAATCATCAACTTCCTGATGCAAATCAAAGTATTATGGAGATGATAATTCTAAAGATGCACTATTATTGGAGAACGCTAGATCAGAGATGATAAGCACATTATGACATCATGTGTGGATTGTGCGTTAGGGTTAGGGTAAGGGTTAGGCTTGGTCCAGGGTTAGGGCTAGCCCTGTTTACATCTTGAGGCTTTGTCGAAATCTGCAGGTCCCAACCCTTACCCTAACCCACAATCCACATATGACGTCATTTGTGCTGAAATGTGCAGGACTGTTGCCGTTCTACCGTTCTCCATTTGTATTACAAAAAAAATTTAGAAATTTATTAGTATTTCTATTGAATGAATAGAAGCAGTAAAAGGGATTTATGTTTCAATAGAAGAGGAATTAATTAGAAATAGTTTCTTTTTTAAAAAATGGCTAATGTTCTCACAAGCATTCATTTTGTTAAGCATCAAAAAATAAATCTAATAACCATAACATTATGTATTTTGAGGAGATAATATGTAGGGTGAATATTGTTCTATTGAAAGATAAGCACATAAATTGGGTGTATTTTCTAGACACATTAATGGGAGAATAAAAATAAAACTGTTAAGAGAATAAACAGCCAATGTTCTCAAAAATAGATTATTAAGGAAACATCAAAGAACATAATACAGACTTTTTAAAAATTCTGATATAATACATATTTTTAAGAGATAATATTTAGATTTAAAATAGTCCCATCCGAAAGGTAAACACATACATTTTTTTTAGAATTGAAGTGTTTTAGCAATAGTTTCTAAGTTTAGCAGTCACTTCAGAATGTTTCTTTAACATTCAAGGGTTTAATTTCATAGGTACACATGCTTTAGATAAATTACCCAAAATAAAATGGAATATACCTTAACATGAAAACCTCATTATCATCAACTCTTGTTTGCAACTCGGTGTCTTAGACAATAGCCATTTGAAAACATGTAAAATAAAATATACCTTGACATGATCACTATCAACTCTAGTCTGCATGCCAGTGTCTTGAAAAAAATGTATATTCTGATTTTATAAGATGGTATCCATATTTCAATTTAAATCAACAAGTTTACCCTGAAAAGTAAATAAAAAAAAATAAAGGGTTTATCTCAGGAATATAATGAGGTCAAAATTACCAAAATCAGACATGATAATCAAGTATAGTGGAAGTAAAAATGTATAGAAATTCTAGGGAGCTCATGCATAACATGAAAACAGGCTTTGCAATAAAATACATGTATATAAAAATGTTTCTATTATATAAAAATATATTACAAGATGGAACAAGAAAGACATGCAACATTTCATGATGTATTTGTATTCCCCATCAGATATTTCATCTTCAATCCTTTCTATACAAATTATTTCCGCTAGAGATAAAAGCCTTCTTTATGACCATGATTAGCCACCATTCAGAAACACCAAAATGATCATTTTATGGAGAAAAGACATTTATTTTTGTTATGTAACGTAGTTTCATTACGGAAATGTGATTTATTCTTCTTGTACATTGATTTTACTCAGAAAATCACAATTAGTTTTCTAGATACTTTATTTTATCAGAGAATTTAATCTTTTTCCACAGAAATTACACCTGCTTACAATAAATGTCCCTTCTCCATAATATTCACTGGTGTTTTTAATTTTCTTAAAGTTACATTCTGTTGAGAAAAAAAATGGAAGTTTCTCCTATTGATCATTATGATATATTAGAATGGATTTAATGTCACTTTTTGGACTATATGCAATTCCATGTAAAATATGTGCCCACATTTAACGCTCATCGCTACAAGTGCAGAAGGCGTTTCCCAAGCAGAGAATTGGGAACTGGGCCAAGCAAAAGTCAGTTTATAAGATTAGGATGGTAAATGATTGCAAGAAATAATATATCTTACTTCTTTTTTAGTTACACATTTTTGAGAGACATTTGATTTTTTTTCTCAATGGAATGTACCTTTAATAAGGCACAGTCACACTGACAAACTATCCTATTTATTGGTCCCGAATACCTGTCTTTGTGCACACCCTTAGAATACCCAAGGAAAGTCAGTGTCTGATTATATTCACGGTAAAAGGTATATGATTTACAAGCTGGAAAAATCTACGCTAAGAGATAGGAGATGTCTTCACCAGTGGACAGACGATAAATTACGTCAAGTTATTAAAACTCTTAAAGTCATAATGGAAAACTATTCAAACTGTTGATTAGACAATGCACAAATCCCGTTTTAAATGGGTGTGATTACTACTTAACCAAACACCACTTACATGTGCATAGGAAGCGGGTGTTAAGCGTCACGAACGAAAGAACATGTTCGTAATATTAACAGCCCTTTTGAAGCTTGGTGTCCGTGCAATAACACACTAAACAAAACCTATATTATCTATGATTAGTCCCGAATGGAGTTTGCTGGTGGAAATTTATATCTACTTTAAAATTAATTAACACACACGGGCGTGACATCTTACAGAAAACGTTACATAAGATGTAACGATGTCGGGAGTTGTAAAATGCCTCCTTGTTCGCCACTGGAGTGGAAGCCTTTGGGGCGGGCAAAAATTATATTGGGTTTATTTACCAGGAGGGACCGAAAATGTTTTTGCAGTTTAGAGCGCATTTTGATCAAAATATTGCTTAATAATGCCCATTGAAGAATAATAGTTCACGCCTTCGTGGTCAATCAAATTTAGACACCCTCGGTGCCCCTGCTGATAAATAAACCCAATAGAATTACGGCGCCCCTGTTGAAGAGACTGCTTACGTGATATCGGAGACAAGAGCTAGTGATAGAATTGTACACACTTTTAACCAGCAAACGGGTTCTTAATCGACGGAAAATATCGGAGGTTTACTGGTAAATATTTGGTTCTTTAGAAAGCTTTGCAAGGGAACCGAGGGTGTTTCAGTGAATAAGGCACTGGCTCACTAACTAACAGTGCTTGGGTTCAAAAGTTCCTTGGGATTTTCCGACCTTGTGCAGATCGGAGGGGGTGGGGTGGTAAGGAACACCATCTAGTTATTCAGATGGGAAGAACAACCGAGGTCGCGGATATACGTTGGTCATCGCATAAGAGAATAGAGAGAGAGAATGCGGTTTAACGTCCACTTGACACAAACTAGGTAATTTCGGGACACACACATTGTTCAATTTTATTTCAATAATTCGCTTGCGCGTACGGGTCTTGTCACGTACAACCGGGGGAATCGAAACCACGCCAGTTGACTCAATGACAGACCTTATACAACGCGCACACGCTAACCATTCGAATCCTCCCCCCCCCCCCCCACACACACATACACCACGCGTAAGAGAAACCGTGAAAGTTGAAATTCGATGATTAATAGGCTGACTGTGTAAAAACGTAGGACGTTAAACCCCATTTCTTTTCATTTCATCCCCAAGACCCCAAAAAGGTGTTTTTACTGATAGGTAGGGACAAAACGTTACAGATTAGAGCGCTTCCTGGTCCCCTGCTCACAATCTTCCTGCGGCAGCTACTAAACCACAATTTTGCACCGTTACAACCCCCACCCCACCCCCATTGCTGCTACCGTCCCAGCAGGCTACTCCTGCTCGGGAATGTCAAGTTTGGTGTTAGGATTCAAATCCATATATGTCATGGAAGGCAGATTGGAGGGCAAAAAGGAATTTACACTAACCGCACTAACCGTATACAGATGACATCGCTTTTCAGGATAACCCCTTTCCAGTCGGATGGTTGAACAGCTTGTATTATAGAGAATTTGGTAATCAGTGCAAAGACCTATAAGCTTTCTAGTCCATCATGAACATAAAATTTCAGTCTGGGATTAAGAAATATGTTCTCTTACATAATACTACTTTCTATACCGACCGAGAGTCCCTCCACCCTAATTTAACAAAAATAGGAACTGGGAAGTGTTCATGGATAATAGAATTAAAGATGGGATAATGAAATCCATAGACAGTAATATGAAGTTTAGTAGATGGATATTCCTTACATTATGATTTTTATCAACTTTACTAATTTTTGGACAAACAAGATTACATGATCCTGTATGACCTAAAGTGTTTATATTATCCGTTTATTCTGGAATCTTTGACCTTTAGTCAATGTTCAGAGATGGAAAAGTTACTTGATTAATAAATGTATGACATGGACGTACAATATGGCCGAAAGTTCAAAATTCTCTCCCACAAAAAAATAGTTATAAACTGGCGTCGATGCATTTTTGTTTTGGCATATGAATTCTTCATCCTAAAATAACGTCAGCGTGTCCACATTTCTATCGGAGAATATACATTTAGCTAAAACGTATTTGCAGCAAGCATACTGAGAAGTAATAGCATGGAAACTGAAGTTGGAAGTAATTGTGAATATTGCCATCAAGTACTGACATATATCATGGTTAACTGCACTATTAGACGATTGTTGATTATTAAAGAATGATGATCTGTCAATCAATACAACCCCCATCAAAAGAAACAAACTAGCCGAATAAAGAAGCTCATTCTACAAATCACCTTTTCTGGATGGAAATAGTAATTGAGTGAAGGAATAGATTCACTTGAAATGGACTAATCATGTCCTCGTGATTACAGATTATCAACTGCGTGGCGACTATAAAGACAATATCACGTCTTGTTTACTGCTTCAATAGAGGCAATCAATTTACATCCTAAATCATTAAATGAGGCACGCAGATCAACGGTCATCATTATTGAAACAATTGGTCAAGAAAAATTAATATCAAACAAGGCATGACTATTCCATGTCTCCACTGGAGTGGACAGGTCAATATTGGGAAACCGGTTAAACAGAAACATGCGATGACACATGACTATATGGTTAACCAGATTCTTGAAGACTTCTTTTTTTAATCGACTACTAAGATTGTCTAGATTCACAAACAATTGTGTCTTCTTATTTTATTACACACTCATATAGGTATTGGGCGTGAAGAAAAGCTAACCGGTGGGTGGTGGGTGCAGGCTGGTGGGTTGTCAAAATTATGAGAACATGTTGGGAAATTGCATCATTTTCTTCAGAGACATAACGCTGGACCCGGCGCTAAAAGTTGTCAAAATGCCTATAGCTAAAGTTAATATATAGAAAGGCAAGGAAATATAGACAGACACGTTACATCTACAGCACAGCTCTTCTGGCTACAGTGTGTTAAAATAGTCAAAAGCACATGTTGTATTCAATTTGTAACAGATGAGCACAATCCCGTAAAATGATCATTGCATTGAATATAGCCCCCCACCGACCCACCCTCACCGTAAATCAAAATGGATTGTTTGGCTATCATGTGGGTAAAGGCTAAAAGCTAAGGCTCATTGCAGATCTCGTCGTAGGTCAAGAGATGTAAATAGGGTTAGGGTACGTGATTGTTGACGACATTATGGGTTCGGTTAGGGTTAGGATACGTGATTGTTCACGACATTATGGGTTCGGGTACCCCTAACCCTAGCCCTATCTCGTGATCTACAACGGGCCTTAGCTTTTAGTCCTAACCTATCATGTGTGGTGCCAATCAGAAAGTAGTCACCGTAAACCGACGAACTATAATAACATCCTTAAATGTTTAAAAAGGTGGTAAAATATGGATTTGTAGATGTTCACATTATGTTTTAAAGAAGGTGTAAATGAAACAAATGACCATGATTAACCTATAAACTTTAAAATAATAAGAATGACTTGAAGCAAATCGGGGAAATGAAGGGCCACGTCTTGTTGCTATGCATATGATCATGTAGACGCTTCTAGTACTTATTTGGAGCATGTTTTTTTTTTAAGTTGCAGCTTTAATAATTCAGTGCTTTATTTCAATCCTTCTTACACGATTAACAGCATGTTTTCTTTTTGAATTTTTAATGCAACCTATAGGTGAACTGATGTTTGGTGATGGGCCATCGCTTGGTATGTATAGCTTTATTTTACAAAATTATCGGGCATTGTCTTCACATCACATCACTCTCCATCTATATATTATTTTCTAATAACAGGAATAGTTTTCTAAATCATGTTCGGTTCCAGCTGGGTAATAAATGATAATTTAAAGAGACATTTAAAGACACATTTTCTAAGAAATGGCCATTGTGGATCATGATTCCGTATAGACCTTGATTATCTCATTCGACATAGGAACTAAAGTTTTAAGCAGTTCACTTTCTAGCTGGAGACTGTCGCTTTACATTTACCTAACTAATAATATAATATGTTCATCTCAATCTATAATATATTTGAATGACAAGTAAGAATTCAAACACTTGACACTAAGCACTAATGTTCAGCGGGTTATGATATTCAAAACTTTTCTGCTAGCTATATGGGTAACGCTTTCGGTGGATAAAGAACCCCTCCGCCCCCCCCCCCCCCCGGGCTAATCTTCATTCTGCCTTTATTCAAGGTCGTACAGGCGGCTGACAGTCAAACTAAAACCTACCTACTACGGTCGTAGCATCTATGGCAAAGCGGGCCAGACTGCGCACTATCGCCTTTCTTCCTTTTCTATTCCCCGGACTCTCTCATTTCCCTACAAAGACACCGTGTCTTACCCAAATCAAACTGGATCAAGCCTTTTTCCTATGGTTTCCTCTAGTAAGTTTCTTAGGAAACACTTGTCTACGATATCACCCGTGGTGGAGGTGGACGTAAAACTCCAGGAACGAACGAACGAAGATATTACGTGCGCATAAATAAATTCAAACAGAAAGGTAATTTATGTATGCCCCCACATCAAACTCTTTGACAGATTTTAAAAGATGGTTGGATATGTACGTATTATATTCGAGTTTTCTTCAATTCTGCGGTAGGTTTGGACACGCCAGAGGTAGATGTGATTTTAAAAAAAATGGACGCAAATTTGGCTGTTATCTACAATAATTGGCTCATTATCATTTCATCTTGTGTGTTGGACTGCAATAGAAGCATATTTTTCCTATCAATGCAAACACTTATAATTATCTCATCAATTTCTTACTTTAGAACAGTAGACATTCATAGAGAATGTAGATGAAATGCTTTAAAGTGTTTACATGGTTCACACCTAAACTACTTGATTGTCAGCCATACCTTACTACATGTATACCTAGACATCAAAGAAAGTATTAACGGGATTGGGAATTTCTGGTGATAAATTAGCTAATTATCTGCGAAAGAATAGTAAATATAATTCTCTTCATCGCCTCTCCAGACAGGTTAACAATCTCCACAAGAGGTTAGAATTTTTTCCTCGGGTCAAGCTGTCTGGAAGCGTTGCCAAGGCTTTTTATTCTCTTCTCCTTACCTTGTACAATCTTGTTAAAAAGGACGTTATTATTACTCAATAGAAAAAACATTGAAGGTTATTAGATCTATAATCTTTTTACTAAAGCAAATTGTTTATACAGACAATAATTTATATAGAACTGTTTAGACGTCATGGCTTTCATAATCTTTTACAAAGGCGAATGTAGACTAAAAATAGCAATAACACAGAAATTAGTAAGCTTATTAAAAAAGGGGGTCTAGCAATATTTATTTTCTTAAATGTTGATTAAATATAGTCTATGTTTTGAAAGAAGAACCCGATGAGGGTGGGATATCATTTGAAGTTTAGCATCTTTGACCTTTGTCCCATATAAAGATGCAATATATAGGAACTTGGTTTTTATGCTGACTTTGTAAATTACCCTTATTAATAGGAGGAAACGGTACCTCTAATTCATTAAAAAGTACGAGTACCTTTAACAGCTGCACAATTGAAAGCAAAATTGTAGAAGACGGTACATGAACCAATAAAGTCATAAAAAGAACTGCCATTGTTGATTTAAAGCATTAGTAGTACATTTAATTTAAACTTTGTGTGTTGAATTGCTAGCGTTTAAAACATTTTTTCTTCTTAAAAGTATGGAGATATTATTAATCATTATAGCTTGGCATCGCTGTTTTTACTAAAATTTACGAATAATTGGCAACCAGTTAAAAAGGAAATTCATCAAAAGAATACTACTTTAACTCTTCATTGTGGATTATAATAACCTTATCGTGTAATTGTACATTCTTAAAGGTCATAAAGGTATAAGCAATTAAAATAAAGAACTATAATGGCATTCTTGGAAATTAAATAAAGAACTGGTTATGAAGTGGTAAAGAACTGCTGTAAAATAAAATTAAAGTAGAAAAACCATTTATCATAAAAGATGACAGAGAGATTAAATATGCTTGCCCCCTTGCCAAAAATTTACCCTTATGTAAATGATACCATTTACACATTGAAGATTTTTTTTATCTGAGTTTTTTCTATCCAGACTGATCACAAACAAAACAAGAAAGTGTTGGTTAAGATGTGATATTTTAGTCAGGTGGTAACGTTGGGTGGGTAACACATCTTTCAACATATCTCACAAGATAGACTCGTGCTCTTATTATATATCTTATACAAAATACCTACATCAGTACGTACAGTCTATCATGGCGGTTATATACATGTATTTAATTACATGTACTTTCATTCCGTGCACAGTTTTTTTTTATCAACATGTGGTTTAAATTTCTTTTACTTAAGAAAAAAAACTCTCCTAATTATATTTACTACTGATAATTAAGGTATAAATTTATTCGACAACAATAAAATATTTGTGTTTTTCTCCTACTTTTTTTTTCGACAATAAAATTTGTAGTCTAGTGAAATATAAAATGAGTGATAGTTTGGCGTGGTTAAAAAGATAAGTGTGGCAAAATAAGAAAGAATATATGATTAAGTTCGTCTGACTGTCTCTCTGTTAATTTAAAACTTGTCGTCACTATAAGAAGATTATACAGATTCTTCAATCCCAACTGTCTGAGAAATGCCAATGTTCTGTGAATCCTGTATCTTGATTTAATAATCTGGCCTTCGAGGCTGCCGGTGCAAATTTTTGCATGCGCCCTGTAGCTCGCATACGAAGAAGCTGCGAAAATCATTCCAGAATATTAACGTGTAATTTGTTTTATGTAATTTATAGCCTACATAACGTCCCACCGAAATCTCTTGATAATTATTATTAAAAAAAGAAAAAGAAAGCCTTTTTTTCTATTACAGAGATTGATGAGTGTGCATCAGGAAGCCACCATTGTCATGCTAATGCTGATTGTATAAATATTAAAGGAAGTTATAAATGCGAATGTTCTAAGGGTTACCAAGGAGACGGTGTAACAAAATGTGAAGGTAATCAGATTAATTTGATTTTAAAGGGCAGCATGTTTATCAATTTATATAAAATTTATATTTCATCTTAAGTGAATGTCAGGGGTTTTTATAAGTAGTATGGCTTTTAACACAAAACACTCGTCGGGTTTTTTAAAATGCAATTCCCACATCTGAGCCGTGTCCTCAAAAGTCGTGAAGTTATGGAATTGATATCGCGACTAGAATGTTGCGGGTTCGAATCCCTCTCTGGACATCGGAATTTTCAAGACCATTTGTAAGGGGCACGCCTATATTGGGTTGACAATAAGCGTGTGCCGAGATGTTCGAATGAGATAGGTGGAAACACCCTTGTCTGTGCAAGTTATCCCCCCGCATTGTAAAAGGGGTAATATCTAATTAAGACACCACTATGTTAGTCTCATCATAACCGGATAACCGAATGATTGTGGTGACGAGACGTTAAACCACATTCACACAGTCAGACAATGAATTCTCAGTTTGACTACCGGAACACAATAGTTGCCAATTGACTATGGCAGATTTGGATAAAGCAAAATGGGAAAGTGGTAGAGATATACCAATAACTAATAGAGAAGGCACAGATCTTGTCATTGACAACGTAAAGGAACTTCAACATTGTCATTGCTGTAACATAATGTTAGTAAAGCAAAAAAAAAAGGAAAACAAATAACCCCCATACATTGAATTTTAACTGACTGAAATGATTTCCATTCATTTGTATTTATTGTGTACTTTTCAGCATCCTGCCATGGTCAGTGTTTAAATGGCGGGAAATGTTTGGCACCAAACGTATGTGAATGTAGACATGGTTATATTGGCCCTAACTGTGAACTGGGTAAGTGTTCGGCAATGCGATATTATTTATAGACAAATGTCAGAGATAATGTTTTTATGTTTTTATATAATTATACAATACTCATATATAGTACACAAGGGACCGTATTATTGTATATCATAACTGTGACTGGTTTCTACTTTTCGAGGCTGACACATGCTTTAGGCTTACAAAAAATTCATACTAGTCCTTCTGATATAGATATCGAAATGACACGATAAATACGTGTCATTTACACGTGAAAAGAGCGACCGGGTATTGAATTCTAAAACAATAGGTACCAGTGGTGATCTCTATATTTACTTCCGGCAGCGAGTATGGCTGCCACTTTCTGAACTTTTTGCAATTTATCTGCCAGAAGAAATGGTATACCAATAAAAAATAGCCTCTCAAAGTGTGGAAATACGCCCACACAGCAGCCACAACTCTACAAAAAAAATAACCATAGACAGCAGCTTATCCGAACGTAAAATTCGAATGCTCACTTAATTTTTAAGTACCGGTTAAGCCTTCAAAGTTCAAGAAATCTGATGTACGAGCGTATGTCGTGTTCACAAGCTTTTCCATTTTTTCCGAACCCACTGCTTCACACCAAATATAAACATCAACCGGGTTACCCCTGTCACAGTCCAAATGCTTCACATTAAATTTAAAAAAAAATAATAAAACATTCAACGCCATTTTTGATGACCCCAAGTGGCAAATGTTTACTGATTTTACTAACATTTCGCAGTCGAAATTAACAAGACTTGCAAATATTGCAAACAGACCACATGTACCATTATAGGGCGCATGCCAATAAGGTTGACATTATTACTTGCTACTGCAGCGGCAAAGCTCTTATTGAAATAAATCATGATTTATGACAAGTTATTGTTTATTTTCAGATATCGATGAATGTGGTTTGGGTATATCGGCTTGCCATGGCCATTCTGTTTGTGTTAATATACCAGGATGGTATAGATGTGATTGTCTGGAAGGGTATCATTGTAATTGGCCTGACAACCATTATGGTAGTCTCTGTCTTGGTACCTACATGTATTAGTACTACGTAGTAATATTATGAACTAGAATTAAACTAAATCTAAATTAAACCGCCCTAAAATAATTTGCTTGGAAGTTTTATATATTGCAATCTGAACAACTTATGTCCCACTAATCCGTGCCTTTGTCTTCAAAACAGATAATACATATTTTTGTATTGATTGATAATTGGTATTATTTGTAGATATCAATGAATGTATAGGTGAAGGATCTGGACATACATGTCATACTAGTATGGAATGTATAAATATGGAAGGAGGTTATGAATGTGCTTGTAAACCTGGTACAGCGTGTATACCACGTAAGATTATTATCATTATATTGTTATTCTTTGTATATTATAACAATGCAAACATTTGAACAACGAAAGCTAGCAGATCAGTGCACCAAGCATTATTTATTTGTCATTCTCTCATTTCTGTCAGTGACCGATCCCTTCACTGGCCGAGAAAGTTCATCTTGATTTTCCGGCGTGGTTTCCCCTTGAGGAGAGCCTGACAAGGACAGCTGTCTAGTCATTCGGATGGGACAAAAAACCGAGGTTCTGTGTATATATTGGCGTGCATGTAAAAGATCCCTTGGCAGTTGGAATTCGATATAAGAGTAGGCCATAGTGCCGCTTCCCGGGCAAAAACCTCCCATAGCACACTGTGTGACGTATGCTCGTGTTCATTAGCCCAGTCGAAGCAGAACAGTAGGACGTTAAACCCCATTTCATTTCATTTCTGTCACTGACAATGTTACAGGAGCGAAATTCCATGCAGTGATGAAAATATTAAAGATTTCAATTTGCCATCACTGACCTCAGACAGCATGACTGTGTATAAAGCGACGCAACTAGTGACAACGGGCAAAAAAGACAACTCTCGTGTTAAAAATAAGCGCAAAGGCCATGATCTGGTGATGACTACAGGCAATTGTTGCGTGGGTCTCTTGTTTTGAACCGACCGTGTAGCACGCCGAATGTGGTGCCTTTTAGTCCTTAGCGGTTACTGTGCTGGGCGCATGCATGTATCAGCATTCTCCAGTGTATCCTGCTAACCGCGATGAGTCCAGGAAAGCCTTCTCGTGATATATCTATGTCAGATGCTTTAAGTGCAAGCAAGATGTCGACCTTACTTTTGGCAGATTTCGGCGACCAATTAAGCGGTTTCAGTTTATTTCTAAACCGCCAATAATGTAATTTTCTGGAAGAGTGCACCCTGAAGGTCGCTGGGCCCCTTCGGACGCAGGAAACCGCTATCATGCCGCTGGAATTTTGAACGTGACAAATTATCTCAAAATAGTTACGGGTGAATTGCGCGAACTGCCCTGTGTCCTCTGGAAGCGTGACAAATTTACGAATGAATTGAGAATAAATTCCGACATAAATAAGACACTTTTTGACTATAAATTGCCACTTAACTGTCACGCGACTGTTACAAGTGCCAAAAACTCGCTATTTTTCGCTCGAGTGTTTTTCAAGTTTAGCGCGACATGTATACGAATTTAAGGTAAATGTGGATCCGAATTTCGTTGATAATACGGGCGACATTCTTGCAATATTCGTGCAACATACACACTTATATCGTAAGTACCAATTCAGTGCAAATTGTCGCTAATTTGCGTATTTTCTCTCAAATTTGTGTCTCCAACTAGCCCGAAACTTTCCCTCCCTCATGCGGGTAAAAAAACTATCATTAGTTGCCAATAGTTGCTGAAAACCACGCTTTACCACTAGTTGTGTTGCGTCGTAAGTGCCAACTGGGGCTCAACCGCGTGCCAATTCTGGAAATATATATGAGTAGTTCATCAAGGCCGCACATGATTATACAACAGCGATTGTACTTACAGAAAGATGAATTTAACAGCGTGTTTGTTTTTTCTTCAAGTCAATATCTGATTTGTTTTTAAATTTATTCATTAGATTGTATCTTTGAAGAAAAGGAATACGGGAATTCTGAGAAATGGTTTTCTACAAATGACAAATGTTTACAGTGTTCTTGTATGGTAAATATCTTCATATATTGCAATAAATATACAATTTATCAAAGGAATGATATGTCCCCATTAAATTCCAGTGTACTATTAACACACGGATCATGAATAGAAACTATACTTGAAACAGATCCACTTTTGTCTTTTTTATATTTAGAGACCGTTCCAGGACCCCAACCATGGCACAACTAAAATCTAAACCTTTCTCTGGAATTCGAGAGATACATTTACTGTCTACAATAAATGTCAACGTTCAGACTGTCCCATGTCTGGGGTCCTGGGATTCGTGCCAACACTAGTTTTAATTTGCATCTTTGAAACTTTGAAGACGAGAAAGAAGAGCGTGCGTTTACTGAGGGGAAGTAACTCTTGCAAGCATGGCAGATAATCGACCGTATCTGGATATGTGCCGTTATTATATTAGCGACAAACACCGTTTATGGTCCACTCAACACAATCTAGGTCATTTTGGGACTAACATATGGTGAATTTTATTTCAGTAATGCGCTTGTGCGCAGGGGCCTTTAACCGTGGGGGTAAACCGGAGGATACGGATAATACACACGAGGTTAGACAAGCCACCCTACTCCTTGTCACGTACAAGTGTGGGATCAAAACAACGTCACTTAAATGAATAACAAGCTAGATTTAAAGTTATTAAAGTAATGAATATAGCCTCTTCAACGTTGTTATTGTAGTCTGATGTTACGAATCTTATGACGTACAGCACAAGAGTTAGACCCCCCCCCCACCAAATCTCATAGATTTAAAGTTATTGAGGTAATGAATGTAGCCTCTGTAACGTTGTTTATTATAGTCTGGTGTTACAACATGTCATAAGAGGAGCTGTGATTGTATGGACCCAGATGTTGATTTAGATTGTTGTCCTCACTGTGATCTAACAGCGCAGTGTTCGCATCAAGAATATCCTCTTTACATGCAGAATGGAGAACAATGGTCCTTTCAGTGTCAGACATGTGAATGTTTAGTGAGTACTGTATCTTGTAAATTATTGTAATTATGTCAATATTATACATTCTTATTGCTGATTGTCTCACCTTAATACACTAATAGATTCAATTTAGACATGTAAACGGGAAGTGTAAATCATTTTGTGTTTTCTTTTCTTGGGGTAATATTTTGGCAGTCGTCTTCTGGTAAAATGGCAAATGTTTGGTGTTTATACTAGGGAAAACATAGTAATACTTCTGTGCAGAAATCTACGATATCTATGGTGGAAGTGTGGGGTTCATTAAGTGAACAATGGCCTGATAACAGACAACGCCTGTATTTGATCAATAAAGAGTAACATGCGTATCAGACAATTGTATTCTAAATGTTTTTAACCCCTAAACCACCCGAAATCACTCCCTTAAACGCTTTTTCATACCTGACCATAATAGGCAGCCCCGTTTACCAAACCAGACAATCTGATTAATTAGAAAGTTAACTGATCTGTCAAATGTTAATGTAATTTCACATAAATCGGGTGGGAGGACGGGTTGTACTTTTATGCCGTTATCATACTTAACAAAATTCTTTCAGCATGGTGAAGTAGACTGTTGGCCGCTAGAATGTCCTAATATAATTTGTGAGAATATTATACAAGAACCAGGTGATTGTTGTCCTAGATGTATTGATGATAGTCCATGTACCAATCTGAATCTAGATGTTGGTGGATTAGATCATTCGTCCGATACATGTATCTATGTAGGTAGAACGTATAGACATGGTAATAGTTGGCTATTAGATAGTGATCCATGTACTACCTGTGATTGTATTGTAAGTATTACTCATATTATATAGTTTAGATATGATCTAAGTCAGAAACCTTTTAAGATAGCAATTTTTTATCATCCGTACATCCGGAACTGAGCATTTCGTACTTTGATGGTGTAATCTAAAGAAAACGGTGGTGATAAGTAACACAATACACAACAGTATTTGGTTGTTGATTGCCAATAATACAGAGATTGTCTAACCCTGTACCTTCCAAAACATATCCAAGGCCACGGTATGTTGATGGCGCAGTCTTCTTGTTGCTCACTGACCTTTATTTTCTTTTACACAGGCTGGCCACATTTGCTGTTCTTTTAACGAAACATGTTCAGTGGGAGTTCAACTTCAGAAACCATAAATCACCACCAAGGGCAAGAGAAGAGACAAACCCTGTTTCTGGTGAGAATTTGTAAGCTAAATTTACTATATTATATTTTGTACATAAGGACGATGGAATGGCTAGTACAAAGAATGGCATTTGCTATTATTCCTGTGAAACGACAATAGTGGAGTTGTGAATTTGAAGATTTGAATTGAAATATGGGAGTTGTGAATTTGAAGATTTGAATTGTAATATGAATATAGTACTAAGATATAATATGCACGTAATTTATGTATTGTTTATCTGATAAATATTATTATATAGAACGTGTACACATTGATATTAAGGGGATAATATTTCTACCCTTCGAGGTTGTGATTTAATGCATTATTTTATTGTGGCATTTATTATATTTTTCGTATAATTATATACCATGTATGTAAATTTGATATGGTAGACGTTTTTCTTCTTCTTTATATATATTGTCAAACAGACAAGTGTTTTGCATAAATTCGTTCTAACCTAATTATAATGGCTTCGTCATACGACTGCTCTTTGTCTTTGACTAAAGTATCTGGATCATTAGTTTGCTTTTGATAACGTATAAGGTAGAATTATTTTTAATGTAATATGAAATTGATCTAGTCGCCATTATTATTGGGAATTGTGTTTCTCACTAGTTTCCAGTGATTTCTTTTTTTTTTATCTGAACCTTCCCTTCGGATATCTAAAACTTTTTTGTTACCGTATGAAGCATATGATACAAACCGCTTGTCGTTTTACGGACAGGGTGGCGGTAGGAGGTTGTTAAAAGACTTTTGGGTCATTGAAGCCTCGGGGCTGCCGCTCTTTGATACCTATTGCACATTTCTCCAAACAATGATACCTATTTGTTTTTTTAATCATGCGTGATAGGCTTGCGGGAACCGAACCCTAAAAAACTTTTGCCTGTATTTTTCTAAATACTCATGGGGTATTTAAATATCAAAAATCAAAATAGCCCAAATATTTCTACTGCAATAGCCTCATTCTTACCAAGACAATGGCCATTTTTATAGGTCTTTTGATATTGTTTCCGGAAGTAATTAGATATTTTGTGCAAGGCTTTTTAGTCATATGTATTTAATTCATGAAACAATCTTTTTCACAGATTTCAGTATTATATATAGATTATTACATGTATTACTTGTGCACATATATTATTTTGAAGTTTATTGTATATTTTTATTGTTTATTGTACTGATATGCAATTATTATAATATTAATGTTGTTTTGTTAATATACTATATATAGACGAATTGGTTAAATTAGAGTAGAATAGTATTTTTAAATTTATTTTAATGTGCCATGTTAAATGATTTAATTTTCTTTTAATTTTTTTGGTGGGTGCCAAATAGTGAAACAGTGTACATTTTCATTACAAATTGTATTCTTATGCGATATTTTGTCACAGATTATTACAAAAACTGAAAACATTAATAACCTGTTATTTCTGGACAGTAGATTGAGTGCTTGTTTTATATATAAGTATTCAATTATCCAAATATCTATATATTTTGGTGCTTGCGCTGATTGGTCAAATGCACTCTGTCGCACACACAGCGATTGATCCACTCTTTTAGGCTGTTTGATATTTGGCAATTTGTTGCGGCAAACATTAGTCGATATGCGCTATTAATGGGCTCTTTCCATCATCAAAACTTGTATGCTTATATCGTGATGTAATTGTGAAAAAAACCAATATAAATTTGTGTAAAATCCAAATTATATCAATTAATTCTTAAGTAGAAATGAAAATGACAAAGTAATTCAATATCTATGTTTTAAAGTTTTACTTCTAGTCCATGATAGGCTTTGAATAAAATTGTACACGCAGAGATTGTTTTTTTAATATCCATATCAACATATCCTTTGTGCACACTCTCCATAAAGCGGGGCAAACATTGAAATCGTTTTGATCTTCAACTAGAAATTGGACAGGCAGTTGATTCCTATATGAAAAACAACCTTACGCCTTACGTTGGACCGATTGCCATCAAGATCTGCACACGTTTCAGCCTGAAAATGCTCGCGCACATACAACTGGTGTCTCCACGGACGTTTGAATTAACCAACCAACGTTGCATCGATGGCCCACGTTGTCTCCTCCTTCTCTCTCGCTGTTTGCGCATCTGTAGGACAATACTGGATGCCGTCTCTCCCATGCAATGATAGTGGAGACAGATCCTAAAAGCAGTTATTCAGAAGCTTATCTTGTGTCTTATCTAACTGCCAATAACTCTTATCAGTTAAATAAAGCCCAGGACGCGTTAGGTATTAAAGCTTCTAATTACAAATCTCATTTTCCTCGTACAGGAGATGCCACAATGCCGGAAATTACAGAGTTACAGATGAAAGTTATTTTAGAATTACTAAATTATGAATGAATAGCATCCACGATTCAAAAAAGAACATTTTGTGAACACTTATGTCCTGAATAACAAAACCTATTCCAGACATGTATTACATGTAGCTAACTCTTCTATGCACAAAGGCCTGTAATTGATAAGTAATGTGCTATAGAAATGGTCATCTGTACAGAGATGGACGTCACACGGAATCTAGCAAATGACGATATGGCCTTTTCTTGTGTTCTGAACAAATGATGTATCAACCAGTCGGCCAATTCATTTGTGAGATTTGAATGACAAATGATTCTGGAAATTGAATGAGATTTTGGTCTGCCTATGGCATTAGTGTTTTTAATCTTTTCCATTCCTGATGAGAAAATTTACTAATGCCTATTATTTAACATAATTAGTGAAATGAAATGGGGTTTGACGTCCTACTGTTCTACTCCGACTGGGCCAATGAAGACGGGAACATAAATTGTAAAACGCAGTCTCGGATCCCCTAGATTTTGAAGATTTATTTTAGCTTAAAGCTGTTGATACCACGGCATGTTAACGGAATGAAAAATATATTTTATGTTACAAAGTTTAGATTTGAACAAATCAATGAGGAGTGCTAATAGCAAGTTCAACACTAGCATTGCTAGGCCAGGGACTGTATAACAGCACAGTAGGCGGCTACTACTGGTTCCTGGATACATTCACTGTATTTCTGGCAACACCTGTTTAGCATCTTTTATAACAACTGTGTCCGGTCTTGTTAATAACCATGCAGCATGTGGTGCACATTGCCTTAATTTCCTAGCAAAGTTATTAACATTCACTGGTGTCACAGTTAAAACAGTTTCTTCTTTAAATGGTGTCTTTTCTCCTTTGGAATTTGGAACCTCTGGAGTCCATTTGCACTTTTCAAATGTTATGTCCTGAGATTTTTTGGGGCTAAGTTTCCGTTTGCGAGGCTCATTCCATTTACACTTGTTTGATGTAGACGCGTGAAGACCTTTTTTTTTCGGTAATGTCAATTAGCCCGTGGAGTACTGCCGCTATGGTTACAGGATTCAACTTCACTGAAAAAGATGAAACAAATTTAGAATGTTTAATGCTCACACATTATTTATCATATTCCAAGCACACATGCAGATTTCCAATAAAATGTAAGATATAGTGAAATTTATTGAATAATTTGAACAGTGATCCAGTGTGGTGATTGACCAGGCCATCCGGTTAACTCAATTGGTAGAGCGCCAAACCAAAGCTGGGTGCACTTTTTCTCCCAAGTTCACTTTGCAGTAATTTTAGACATACTAATCCAAACTACATAATCTGGCTTCTTCTTTTTATCAAGGGTAGGCATGGATGGGATGACTTTGGTACGTATGAAACAGTGAGTGATTGATGACTCGATTTCATGATATTGTACTGAATGTACATGTCTATCCTCATAGAACACCTTTGCTTTCAGTTGTCGTTTGGCATTGTTCTGCTCTTTTTTGTCAATTTGACCTTGACTTAACACTAGATAATTGTAAAGTTCTGCGTTTGAAAAATCCGGTATTTTTTCACAATCGTCATTCCAACCGTGTTTAAGGGACGACGGGTGCGGTAATATTTCTCCTAATGGCGAAACAATTAATCTTTCTAGGTTCCTTCGTTTTTCTAAATTCTCATCCTCTATAAAATCCAGGGGGATCACGTGGCTAAGTGGGTAAGGCGCTGGCTCGCTAGCCTGGAGGTCGGGTGTTCGATCCCTGCATTGGCCGAGAAAGTTCATCCAGATTTTCCGGTGTGGTTCCCCCTTGTCAGTGATGCAGGACGGAGGGCCTGACAAGGACAGCTGTCTAGTCCTTCGGATGAGACGAAAAACCGAGGTCCCGTGTATACATTGGAATGCACGTAAAAGATCCCTTGGCAGTTGGAATTCGATATAAGAGTAGGCGATAGTGCCGCTGCCCGGGCAAAATTTCCCTCATAGCACACTGTATGGCGTATGCCCGTCTTCATTAGCCCAGGTTAGGAGCAGAACAGTAGGACGTTAAACCCCATTTCATTTCATTTCTATAAAATCCAATTCACTAAACGGCCGTTTTCCAAGAATATTTGTTCCTTTTGCGCGTTTAATCAGCTCCGATTTAACTCCTGACACATACTGTCCATGATCACGAAGATATGATTTTAACTCACTAACATTCAACTTTTCAAAATCCAACTCTTTCCGCACTGCTGACTCATTCTCTTTGTTTGTCATCATTGTTGACATTGTTGTGCTTTGTTATCGTTCGAGAAAATGCCCTCCGGAAGAAGTATTATTATGTCGAACAATGAAAGGGACGTAATCGCGGCGCGGGCAGATAACACCTTTCCGGACAGGGCTTTCTTCTTTTCGCGTCTTCAAAACTCGAAAGTCGAAAAGTAGAAGTTACGACAAAATGTGAGGCGACAGTCAAAATGAACTCGAAAATAGGAAATTAAGAAATAATACACTGCGATAATAGCGCCCCTCGTTTTTTTCCTAATTTCTTATTTTCGACTTGCATGTCGACTTTCGACAACACGCATACCAAGCCATAATGCAACTCCAAAAGTAGAAATTAGGAAACAAACACAACGCGCTATTAGCGACCTATCATTTTGGCTTGCTGTGTTTATTTCCTAATTTCTACTTTTCGAGTTGCATTATGGCTTGGTATGCGTGTTGTCGCCTTCTTACCGACATCAATAAAAACAAAAATATGACGAAGTCGAAAGTCGGGAAGATTGTACACAAGCCAAAACGCAAGTCGATAATAAGAAATTAGGAAAAAACGAGTGGCGCTATTATCGCAGTGTATTATTTCTTAATTTCCTATTTTCGAGTCCATATTTTTTGTACAGCGCGCTGTCCCTCATATTTTGTCGTAACTTCTGCTTTTCGACTTTCGTGTTTTCAAAGGGAAAAGTAGAAATTATGAATGGTAGTTATAGGCTTCCATAGATAATATATGTTACAGCGAATATCAGGGATTCCATGTGAACTATAATTTCGCTATGAATGTTTTGCTCAACGAACTATATATATACCTTTTAAATTGCCCCCTTGAAATGTGTAAGATGCATTATGTAAGAGGCAAATCTGCCTATTGCAGGTCGTTTTTCTGGCTTCAAATGTTATATAAATTATTGTTTAGACATTAATTCACATAACAAGCCTAAATTCAAATTTCAGGATCATCGGGTGGCTGAGATTTAATTGGACTTAACCTGCAAGATTTCAAAAAATTTCGATAAAAATGGATAATCGAGGCTTAGTACTGTTTTTACGATAATGAACTATCTACGCTACGTCTTCAAACAGTCAATATATTCATTTTTCATTATCTATTTTTGAACTATTATGTTAAGAATATACACGAAGTCGTCATTAAGGATGAAACCAAGTCCAAGCAACTATGGCTGGAATTCTCCCCATGGCGTATACCCGTTTGGTGCAGAAAAGCAGGACATTAAATCCCATTTCAATACTTCTATCGTTCGGTCTGTCAACAATATCTCGACGACTTTCCTGCGTCACCCAACCTTCAAACAATAATTTTACTTCCAGCGTAGGTAGAATGCAGGTTTCATGCGTCGAATGCCTTGACTAAGTTCGATGATGAACATAATCTGCTTAGGCTAAGCAAAGTCTCTGATTTGATTCGTTACGACTTCAGAATACGATTAGGATGAGGCATTTAGTAACTGGATAGAGCATACACTATAACACATACTTATGGTAGAACAATTACCTATCTGTAATCAGTAGTTGTTCTTCCATAATTACGTGCATAAGTTTATGGAATATGATTACTTTGATTCTAATTGAGTGTTCGGATGGCGCATGGCTGTCTCTATTATACCGGTTGGTACAGAAAAGTAGGACGTTAAACTCTTTTTCGTTCCTTCGGTCGGTCCATCCACAAATTTTTTCTCAAATTTACAGAAATTGTTTATTCATGAATCTGTCAATCTGATTGCAAACCATGGAGTTATCTCCCCGTTTATGTTTTAAAATACCTTGTAGATGCGGTAGTTGTCTTTGGGATTGTTTAAAACATGTTTGCATTGTTAATTGAGGCACAGGGAAGATTCTCATGATTCGAATTTTGTCGGGTATCAAATTTCGAACGTGTTACAGGAGCCAGTGTTATCTACGGAATTATCTTGAAACCACGCCGTATAGCCAGTACGAACCATGTTACCGTTGGTGGGTTATGGATGAGGGCTGATAATCCCTGTGACTGATTTTAATATTTTGTAGTTTATTTTATTCTTTGGATGAATAATGACATATTGACCTTTGTCAACATATATAGCTCCTACATTTTAAAATCCACTGACTGTCATTAAGAAAATATCAAACTTTCCGAACCCAATCCCAATAAAATGTTCTCAATTTGATTATTAATATTTCATGAAGAAACACATATCGATCGTAGATAATTCCTGGGTTTGAATTCATTTAAAAGGGACCCATACAAAGATTTTACCCCACACAAAGTTATAGAAAGAGTTTTTTTTATATATCGTCTACAGAGGATGTCGGGCTAAATGTTTAATTCATCATGTAAATACTGAACGGAATTCAAACGTTTTAAGACTTATATTTCTTTCAGAGATTCGACTTCCATAATATAGTAGTTTGCATAGGATTCAAACCCGCCGAACTTTAAATATAGGTCTAACAATTGTCTACACTGTAGTTTATTAAAGCTATTTGTTATTTAATCAGGGCCGTATCTAGCGGGGGTGCAGGGGGTACATTGCACCCCCAGAAAAATAAGGCGCCCCGAGAAATGGCGCCCCTCAAAAAATTTGACAACCTTTCAATTATAAAATAATACACGTGATTATGATCACTCAGTGATGCTCTTAAGGCACTGATCAATCGGTCGGTTTTAAGGGCGCCCGCACGCCAAGTCGCCAATGGGTACCTGATCCAAACACTCTTATATCACTATGTGGAGGCTATGGGGCGCCACCACAGGCGCGGGGGCACTAGGAGCAACTGCCTCTCCTAAAAAATCTGCCGCCCCTGAAAGGAAATCGACCATATATATAATACACCAGAGTGGCCGAAAAACGTGTTTCCAGCAGCGTTATTTTTCAAAATATTCTGAGACCTTGATTCAATTGTTGCAGCTTATCGCAACAGGGATTGATATGTTAATATATCATAGAAATTGAAGAAGACAGACTACAACTATATAAAGACTTGATGCAATTCTGGTTCCGTATTCAAATATCATACACCTGGTTTCAGAACCAGTTCTTGCCGGACGATCTCGAAGATTCTAACCAATTCCCATGAACGACTAAACAGTATCATGGACTTGTCAAAAACGTTACCATAGTATGCGAACTGTAAAAGAAGTCGATGTTCTGGAACGGAAGGTCGCGGGATGCTGAATATCGATAGGGCTGTAGTTTTTAACAGTTTATTTTCACATTTGGTGTGAAGCATCGGGGTCATGTAACGACGAACCTTATAGCTATTCAGCGTTCCGCGACCTTCCGTTCCTGAGTTATCTCACCGTTGCCGAAAACCTTGTGATAGAGATTGCAGTTTTTAATGTTTTCTTTTCAAATTTGGCATGAACCAATGGGATAATGAGAGGACCAACCCTATCGATATTTGGCGTTTCCCGATCTTCCAACGTCCAAAACGCTCGTTCTTGAAAACTTTTGTAAACACGTTGACAGAACTTCTTAATTAACTTCGTGTTTGTTTCTCCAATTTACAATCTTATCACGCATTGCGTCAAAAACGTATTACGTCAATGGAATAAAACGCTCTATCCTTGTGTCATAGCACATCTTTGTAGTCATTTTAATTATTATTCATTTTGGTCAATGTGCGAATTTATATCTCGCTAATCATTACAGTATGTTCACTGTAATGATAAATATAGTGTAATTATAGTTATACCGATAACGTAGGTTCTTGTTACATGTTCTGCATATACGAGGGGTGTCCAAAAAGATTCCGGCTTCCCTGTTATTTTCAACATACCGGCCCCCATCCCCCCTTGACATCAATGCCCGTGTTTCACCGTTTCTCCAGCATATTTAACCCATCGAAAAACCGCTGGCTGTCATGTAACCCTAAAAACTCCTCCACAGTCTCAAATCTTGTTCATATGAAAATGTTCCACTTATGTTATGATAATGGCATGTGCAGTAGTTACATGGTTAACAGTTACTCGTCTACCCTGCATTATTATGTCGAGAACAGCATCAACTTTATCTTGGACGGTCACTCCACAAGGGAGATCAGACCGTGCTGCGTCTCTACTGCTGATCACACCGCTTGTAAGTTCAGCACACCACTGTTTGTTCTATAAGAAGGAGCATCGTAACCTAATGTATGTGTCATGTCATCATGAATTTGTTTGACGTTAACTTGTTCAAATGAAGATACTTAATCACGACTATGCATTCGATTTTCTCCATTTTGAGAGTTTTCTTGTTAGTGGTGCAGGGTGGAAAGTCTGGCAAGGACAGCGTCTATTCGTTCGGATTGGATGGAAAATCGAGGACCTGTGTACACGTTGGTGTGCACATACATGAAGCCTATATTTCTGATATTAAAATAGCACAATTTACAAATATTATTTACTTGAGCTCCCATAAGCATCAAACTATCAAAGATTACGCCAATA